TGCACTGATTCATCTAGTGCTTTGATCGGTCTTAAGTTACTGACCAGTAACTTATAAGCCCAGCCAACGCACTACCCATGCGTATCACGTTCCTTGCTGCCAATGGCCGCAGCTTGTGCCGACCACGCTTTATAACGCGCCGTCTCACTGTTATAAAACCCGACTAGAAAGCTGTCGTCCTGGAGGAGGCAGAATTGCGGGGACAAGAAGACGATGAGACAGAAGGGTTATACGTTTCATCCAGCCCACAGCCTTTACTGGAGCGAGCAAGCGAGGGGGATTCCCTTTCCCGTGGGTTATAGCTATATCCACACAGAGGCGCCATATGGTCCTGGCGAATCCTGAACTTTCCCAGAAGATCCTTCTCTGTGTTGATCATGGCCTGCAGATGATCCACCGCTACTCTGACCAACATCTTCACAGGAACGGGCTACTGTGGGAGCATCATCGTGTTCCAACAGTCTCAACGAGTTTTAGCTACGGTAGCGGATCTATGCTACTTCTGTTTGTTTCCCTGTCCAAGAGAGACTCACTGTGGTGTAATCTCCGAGGCTATGGTCGTTGGCGATGATTGCGAGCCGCTACTTTGGCTAAGACAAAGAAAGTGTCACTATCCTGGCTTATATAAGGTAGTTTACTAATATAATTATGAGTCGCAGTAATTGACCATTTGTAAACCCTGCAGAGGCTCTGACTTCTCTGCGTCTTACTGCAGACAGACGACATGGTCTTTGGTTTGGTTGTTGGAGGTCTCCAGAAAGTGATCTTTAGTTCCTTTGTACCAACACGTGAAGGCAATGAAGAGTACTTCTAAAGCTAATAGGGGCATTTCTACTGATCGAGTGAATTTAAGTCTCGTACTACTAGTATTTACATGCAGTCTATAGAGATTAGGTCACGGGGGTTGCCCCGGCCACTTTGAAACCCCGCTTTGGTGTTTTCTTTCATTGTTCCCGATCCCATACGGCGCATTCGATCCCGAAGCCCGTCTTTCCGAATCCTTACATTCGGCGAACCTTTCTCCACGTAAGGTCCCCTGCCCAATTCGATGCGCGCAGACTAACCTCTGCAAGCTATCTACGAACGCGAATACACTCCTCCCTCCCTCTTCCTGTCATCCATCGCCCGTTGGAACTGGCCTACTTTCCGTGGAACGGCCAGAAAATGGCAGACAAGAATACATATCTCAAATACAAGCGGGACCAAAGACTCCTGGTTTATTGGATTACCAACACTTCCAATCAAATCATCAAGACCAGCGCACCAGGGGCCTCGATAGCCATCAACACAACAGGAAAGGTCTCGCTGGCAACTCTGAAGTCATTGTCAGAGCTTATTGCAAAATATATCAAGCCGATACCCCCAACTATATTCCGCCTGTTCAAGTCTATTATCGAGGCCAGGAAAAACACTCATAGTCAATTCTTGAGAATTGTCGCCTCCAACCCAGACCCAGATATCCAAAAGAGTAATGATGCACACAGACACTGGATCAATGGTTTGACCGAGGCATTCAATGCATTGGGAGGAGAGTCGTGGCTCTCGGAGCAGAAAAGCAACCTCGACGTGGCTGACGAAGACGAGGAGGAAGTCGTCTTTGCCAATAAATTCTCGACTCTCAGTTTGAACGTGTCAGCCGGCGAAGACCAGGGACATGAGGATGAAGACGACAACGATGACGAGGAGCAGGTTGCGGCAACTGTGCGGTCGAAGGCTAAGGCTGGCAAGAAAGGAAAGAAGGGCAGACGAACACGGAAACCCAAGACAAAAGTGGCGACTGCGGCTCTTACCCCATGCCTCGACGAAGTTCCACTGGAAAGCTATCGTATTATTGAGGACGAGACTGGAATTATTACAGATTATCTGATGGCGACCTACTCGTTCGTCAGACAATGGGTCGAGCTCCGCCATTACCTGCAAGGTGTTTGGCGCGACGTGGCCTACAATGGCCTGAACAGTGCGGTCGCAGCGACTCTGTCGAACATTGCTATTGCGATGATCAAGGACACCCAATCCCAGATTTTTGTTGATTTCCCTGGGCATGAATCGTTCGAGACCATCATGAAAACTATCACCCGTGGTGATCCCGATAAGGCCCAGGGCATGTTTCAGATGGAGCTTCACCAAACCTGTACCGACGGTAGTAGTGATCTAGTCGAGGCTTCTGAGTTGGATGTGAGAGAGGAGTTTCTGATACATTCCTATCAGAACTTGGTCGACTTTATGACGGACTTTCAGAAGACACACAGTGGCAAGCCAACCAAGAATATGTCTAAAGAGATACGGGATTGGGACCCGACGTTGGATCTTGAAAGAGCGACCAAAGAACAGCGCTTGAGGTGGCGTCGGTCTTACACGATCAACTGGTTGTATGACCTGGTCAACATCAATTCCTCAATTGTTGTGCAACGCAGGACATTAAGAGGGCAGAAAATTCCCCTCGAGACCGTTGACTGGTCTGAAACTGGACCTTGGCACTTTCATCGACGGTTGTTTGGCATCACTGAATTTGCCGGCGAAATTACCCACTTTGCGGTGCAGAAGCCTGGGGCTAAAATTCAGTCCAGTATTCTTCCTCATCATGTCTTCCAGCTTCAGTGCATAGTGGATTCCCTAACGGTGTCTCGAGGCTGGTCTTTCCATATTTTGGTAGGCCATGTCCTGGGGTCCCCAGCCTCTGAGTTCCGCCCCAGAAGAGACGTTGATTTGTTCATGGACCGTGACCAGGACAAGCCTATGTCAGGATACTGTACCGGTGTTGAGGTACTAAGCCAATGCTTTGAAAAGGATGCGATGCTTCATGGAGACCCACAGCGGCACGAGAAAATCAACACAATGCTCCACGGGTTAAGAGATGATTTTGTGAACTGGCTTGGGGAAAGCAAGTACATGTACGGCTTGGCGACCATCCCCCCGTCTAGGTTTTCACACATAAACGCCAACGGACTGTGGGAATATTCCCCATTCCTTTGTGGTGCTGGTTTGATGGAAGCACTTGAACTGGCGTATGGGATGGGCCTTGCCATGTGGGACCGTGTTCCCGAGCCCCTGTGCGTTATCCATCTCCATAACATGCTGGTCCAGAAGGGTTATATCTCGCAGCCAGTGGGGTTGTATGATACTTTTGAAAAGTTATTCGCGGAATCCTTTTATGCCAATGGAAAGGCACCTACATCCAACTTTGAAAAAGCGTTTGAAGCCCGGGTTGGTCCTCCTAGGTCTAGACGAGAAACTTTTCGGCGACGGCAACTGGGACGACAGGTCGCTAAATATGCAACGGATGTGCACGGTCTTCTGGATAGCAATACCAATCGCTTCTTCCAGGCCAAATCCTTCCTACGTCTCTACCGCGCGGCGCGCTGGGTTCCGGATCGGATTCCAGATGAGGATATCCCTATCCCCTCGATCTTGGGCCTCTTTCGTCTGACTGAGGCCAAGAGGGTCACTGATCCTGTCACCGGAAGAATCGCCCTTGAAGATATTGACTTGGTCAAGCGTGCCAGATCTGTCGGGATGGATGATAGGTCGATCATTGAGATTTCGTCGCAGTGGGCATCACTTGAACACGAGCAAACCATTGACCCAAAGGTTCTCGAAAGCATCAAGACCAATATGCCAGAGGGATACGAGGCCAAGGGACTGGGAGTGTCGACAAGTCTATTGCATAGTACACCTCGGAAATCTGTCCTCGGAATCGCGCAATACTTAGAGGCCCTCAAGCTGGACATTTTCGGCGAGATATGCGGGGATACGAGGCCAGTACTCAGTGTGAACTATGTGATGGTGCTTGTGTGCTTCATGATCTTGTTTATGCGCATTGAAGACGAGCTAAAGAGTCGTCGGAACCCACTATGGGTCCAGGCCTATGAGGGGAACACGGCTATAACACGGGAGAAAAGATTGTCGCTCACTGCGCTGGTCCTGGCGCAAGAGGATGAAGAGTGCATGCAGGTAATGGCTGATGCGTTCCAGAACCTGAGATTGGGCTTTAAGGGCTATATTTACTGGGACGATTTGTACAAAGAGGGGAGTAAAATGGAGCAAAATAGTGATCCTTTTGGGCTGGATACTTGTATGGTGATGTGAACTACCAGGGCCTTAAGGTCCTTTGGCTTGATCAAATCCATGTACAACAGGGATCTCGACAATTTAAGTTGAAAATAAGACATGATAACACTTTACTTGCAACTGACTCATCTTTGCCTAGAAGCTCATCTGAGCTACAACTGGTGGAATATCCTCTACTGATCGAAAGACCAGACTCGCAAGTAAAATTCCAATGCTGCTTTCTTGCAGTTCGGATGTACCTATACAATCACACCCAGCTATTCGTCCTGCTCCCTTGGTCAGTGTATAAGAACTGCAACATTTATCAAATACAGAAAGACGCGGAGAAACGATATCTGCAAGCATATAAGCAGTGTTGTTTACATAGTATGTATTCTATGGATCTCTAGGAAATTTACTCGTATACAGTTTCTGGTCAGATCGTATGATATATACTACCTCCGGCAGGCTTGTCACCAGCGGTCTACCACACCCAAAACATGATATGAAGACTAGTCTAATCATAAGTCAAATTATACCTGCCGCCAAAAAAATATATATATATTGAAAAGATCAATAACGCCTTAACGGCCGGACAATGCTTAAAATAGATACGGATCCACACTCGGCTGTAAGGCTGATTCGGATAGTGGAGCCACCCAGGTGAAGAACTTTTCACAGCACCACAATCACTCGCCAACAGGCTCAAAACACAAAAAAATTGACCGACGCAGGGATCGAACCTGCAATCTCTTGATTCGTAGTCAAGCGCCTTGCCATTGGGCCAGCCGGCCTTGATTGTTGAAAGAGTGAGACCTTAACAGGTTTATGTTCGAGGGATAGGTTTGGAAAAGTGGTCATGAAGATTCTTGGTATGTTACATTGGGTATATAGAGAAAAGAAACAACACATGAAAAGTGCAAAAGAGTGTAAAGACATCGGATCATGTAGGGTCAACAACGATCATCGCACATCGCCAGTAAGCGCTCCTTTTCACTGGAGGCGCTTTCCACCACCACTATCCGGGGGATGCTCGACTGCTCCTGCTCCCGCTGCTTCTTCTGCTTCCTGCAACCCCGAACACAGTAGAACACTGAGATGATGATCTTGCCCATCACGAATCCAACCATGCACGCTACCACGCCCGCCACTACGCCCAGCAGGGCGGGCATCACGACCGGACGCATCAGTCTCCCGAAGTTCTTCTCCCGGCCGGCCCAGTAGCCGGGCCTGTGGTGATAGGGGTGATGCTCTGGAGCGATCGTACGGTGCTTGTCGACTGGAGGCTGTTGCATGTGGCCATGCTGCGGCCGCGCGGTCGCATGCTTCGGTCCTGGCCCGTGCATGCAGTCCTTGACGGCGTCCTTCATTGCCTGAATGCTAGCGGTTAATTGGGCCATCCATGATGGCGGTCCGTCGGGATGGTGGTGACCGTGGATGGGGTTGGTTTCGAGTTGAGTGATTTGGAGATTTCCCTCCGAGTCTTGAGTCACTGTGATCGTGACGAGGTGATCGGAGGCGGGCCGCCCTTGTAGGTCGAATAGTCTGAGTTTCAACAGGAAGACGCCCCCTAGTGCCTCGTCCGGGCGTGATGGCATGGGTCGGACATCGAGTTCATAGGCCAGGTCGACAGTCTCTCGGCCCGAATGAAAATGCCGAACTGCATGGAATCGCATTGGGAAAGTGGGTGGAAAATGGGGTCATGGTTGGCGAGTAGGGTGCCATTTTCCGTAGAGAAGTCCAGGGTCTGTCTGAGTTAGCGACAGGGCTCTCATCCTAGTTCTGGCTTCGTAAGTCCGAACTCACCAGATGGGAATGGAGGTCGATATCTTTTGAACACTCGGTATTTGAGAATGAACAAAGAGCGGTCGGCACATTGGTTGGACGGGCGTTGGAGATGATTCGGCTTCGAAACTCGGGATCCAGCCCGGACAGTTCGACCTTATGCTCTGGCAGAGATAACGCAGCACAGCTGCTCAGAAAGAACGCGCCTGTCACAGACAGGAAACGCAGCAACATGGTGGGGGGCGTTGTGGTGGATGTCGGAATGAGTGTAGTAGTAAAGGTTCAAGGATGAAGGTGGCAGTTAAGGGTTCGGATGAAAGCGTGACCGGGTGCGGTTATTTCCCTTCTGTAACTGGGCGAGAGTTGGTACAGAAGTGGCAACCGTCGAGGGAAAGGAAGAAAAACGGGAGTCAGAGGGGATTATATAAAGGCAAGAGGGGTCAATAAGGCTTATATGCATTTATTAATACATTAGGTTTAGAACCTTGACTCACTCTAGGCATCTGGGGAACATCCGATTGCCAACACTGGACGATCGCGAACTGACACCTTCTGGCAACGAATGGACCCTCATAGACAAACCAATGAAGATTAGGGAGTGGTGTACAATATGATTGGGCAGAGGGAGACTCGTGGGTCGAAGATTTCCTGGGCATGGATCGATCGCGTTCAGATGTCGAAGGCTGAGTACTGGACTAAAAAAAGACCAAAAAATTCTTCTGAGTAGCGCCTTAGCCCGTCTCACCATGAGACTGACTACATACCGAAGTGCTGATCATCGTACTTAGCCGATTTGGTGCAATTTGCATTGTGATTTCCTCTCGGGAGCCTCATCTAGGAAACAAATCTACGCTGAGATACGGGAGAGTTTGGCGATCATCCTTTGAGCGGAAGACATGTCATGCAAAGGTGGTTGCCCGTAAATGCAAGAGAACCTAGAATCCAAGCTGATAGGGGAGTGTGGTCAGGTGTCGCAGGATCAGCCATTGGCTGCGCCTCTCGTTGGCTCAGGGTCCAAAACGATGCCCCACGACAAGCTTCTTTTCGGGGGCTTGAAGAGGCAATGATAGCCGGCCGCGGAGATCAATGCTGGCCTCTGATTGCGCCACTCGTCTGTTGTACTCTTTTTCCCATTTCACTACATAGCCGACGTGTCCCGAGCGCATATCCGCCAGTATACTCGCATGTCCCCGAGGATATTGGCAGGAGACATATGCTGTGCTCTCCGCTGAACTGTAGGCCTTTCGGAAGGTCGAGCACGATCAATGACCACTGCATTGCAACAGCTAAATTTGGCCCAGACGCCAAAGTGGAGCATTTTTTGAGGCAGTGCATCGACACCATTGGCCGCGAGGCAGTTTGAGGGATTAACTGCTCCAATAACAGTGAGGCCAAAAGCTTAGCAACCAAGTTTAATTAGTGACCCGTATTTGTCCCTTCTTTGTCTTACTGGCCGTTGTGATTGGGACTTTTCGGAGGGTCCTTACCGTGGTTCTCGACACTGAAGAACGTCCCCGACTCGAGCCTCACCAAACCCTACTTTTGGTATTATGTCTGCCTACAGCGTCACATTCTCCGGATCCGTAGACATTGGATCCTTAACTTTGGATTTTTGATTTTCATTGTCTGCCTTTTTCTAGTTTACTCTCTTCTGAAACTACGATCCACCCAGAACCACTGTTTGTGTTGTTCGGACGCTCCGAACCATCATAGACTTCTGAGACATCTTCCGGAACATAATGCGTGCGCTCCACTTGCTGGCCTTGTTTTTCTACGAAATCCCACATGGTTTGAATTTAGGATAGAAGTGCTCCTCATGGTCTGCTGTCACCGAAGCCAAGCTCACGGGGAGCCATTGACTGACTGGGTTTCACCTGGCATGAATGGCTCAAGCGCCACATTGAATCTGGGCCTGAAATACGAGTTTTCTTTTACAAATACCGTGCGATCCGCCCTTATCCGCTGCAACACTGGAATTCCCCGTGTGACCATCTAGGGTTTTACTGTGCTAAACCCTCCAGTTGGACGTTGGAACGTCAAGCTTATTTGTTTGCTTCCTTCCGTGGGGGTCGTACGGACATTTTCTATGGAATGACCTGCCATACCCCTATGTTGGTAGCCAACAACCAACGCAAGGGCTTCTCCACTCATGCAGCCTCCGGCTGTTGCGGACAAACAGATGTTGATCAAATCTCCTCAGTATCTTTAGGCTTAGGCAGAGAAAGCTCTCATAGGTTTAGCGGAGGGACTACACGTACTTTCACCCACTCCCCTGTACCATTCCGGATGCACGTGGTCTATGAAACACGGCCTGATTTCCTCGGGTCTTCGTTGGTCTTCTACCTATACTGGTTATGGAAGTAACCTCGCGAGGGTGGGTCTCAAAGTCGCTACTTTGTGTATTGACCCCCGCATAGATGCCCTAGGGCTGCCTATCCTGCAGACTCTGAATAAGGCAATAAAGGTGGATCGTGGGATATTGCTCTTGATCCTTGTAAGGCCAATGGTCCACTGAATATAACACTGTTGCCTGAGAATATCGGCCGGTCCTCCTCCAGGCAACCGGCAATTGTTCTCCACTATAGTGGAATCTTGGGTTTCTTATTTCAAGCCTTAATTTTCTTTTCGCTGCTGCCTTGTTGCTTTAGGGCTAGAGATGCCTTAGGATATACTCGAAGCGTGTCGATTCGCCCCACCTAGAGATATGGAAGAAGGCAAACGCAGGCGCGGACCGTTACTCATAGTTCTGACATCGAGAAATGGCTATCTTGTGCATGTGGAGTGAATCTAGCGTACTATTCGCTGGGACTGATGCTTAACTCGACAGCTCTTCCTTTCTGTTCCGCTCTTTCAGCGGCCTGAGCAACCAAGGGCAGATGGGCAGTCCCTCCATTGAAATTCACATCATTACATTCCTTTTAGGCCATTCTCTGATGTGTGCTTTGGCCTCTCCATGCCTCTTTCGAATTGCCTTGCACTATCTACACGACTTCCCTTCGTTGCATCACGCCATCATCACATCATTTATCGTCCACCTCGCGCACCTTAAACTCTAACATCCCGTTCGACGGCACTGCGTGCTCATCTTGCAACTTCATCGCCGTCTCGACTCCGGCAGCAGGTACACGATACTCGAACCTCTTTCCGGGCCCAGGCAACTGTCCGCCAGGAAGGGCATATGGGAAAGGCAGGTATTCCGGCATCAGACCCAGCTGCACGAGAACTGTCGCCTGATCCCATGCGATATGCTCGTGATATAAGCGATCTCCACGAATGTTCACAACTGAGGTAAATGGGATACGGAGTGCCTTGCCAGTTGGCGGGATACCGGGGATTCTGATCACGTTAGCTATAACTGGGATAACGCCATCGACCAGAGCGGCACGATGGGAAGGTAGGTATTAAGGTATGGTATTTCTACTCACAACCAGTCGATCTCTTTATTATGTGTCAAGCTGAAGATGAACTCGTCGACGATCCGGTCGGTGCCGACCGTTCGGCTGATGAGTTCCAGTGCAGTGTCGCTTGGGTTGTTGAAAATGAAATTCTCCAGGTAGAATTTGCTCAGGCGTGCTCGTCCGATTCCGCCCGTCATCTTGTCGAGTCAGTCTGAGGGCACGACCATGTGCATGAGAAGGCGATACTCACAGTCGGGATATGGTTGACGTATGGCTCCTGCACCATCGTCGCCATGGTCTTTTCCACGGACCGATCTCCGAATTCGTACCACGTGTGCTCGTCCCAGATCTTCTCCAGATCGAAGTACGGCCCGTCCAGCTGTTTCTTCAGGAAGGTCAGGGATCGCGTGTGCGCGACGCCGGCAGACGTGATTTTGAAGTCAGCATGCCCCGGGACGATGAACCCGGCGGAAGCAACATCCACATATGAGTAAACAGTGTGATTGTCCTTCTTTTCAATGCCCGGGGCTTGGACGTTCCCAGGAATATGTGAGAGAGTGGGAATCGATTCCTCAATCATATCCCAGGAGCCGAAGAACACTGCAGCCGCAAGCGTTTTGTTCAAAGCTGCGATGGCATTGCCCAGGATCTTTCCGAACCCAGGCGCATAATCGGCGGGAGAACCGTAGACTAGATGCGATCAGCGTGCACTCATCGTAAAGTAATAGACTATTTAATACCCAATGTGGCAAACCTATCTCCTTTCTCACACTCATCCGATGACTCAAACGCTTCAATGCCTCGCTTCACAAGTGCTAAAACACCACTCTCGTCTGCGCTGGCCTCATGATCCAAAGTAATCTGCACCACCGCATAGCTCTCCTCTGCCCACTTCTGCACGGGCTCCGGATCCAGACTGGTGTTCTTTGCTTGACACCCTGCATAGCCAGACGGGCGGATGATTATTAGACCGGGTCCACGCCCGCATCGCGAAAGTGGGGGCTGGAGGACAATGTTTTGGCCCAGAGACACTGGAGGCGCGGAAGGGAGAGCTGGCGCGGCCATTTTGGTGATCTGGTTCCGTTTTCCTTTTTCACAATGGATTGTTCGGACTGCTACTGCTTCGTGTACGTACAGAGAAGAAGTGAGGTTTCTCGGTTAGTTGCTGATCGTACGATTATAAGCCGAGGTCGACCCCACTTATTTATCGCGGAGTTGATACTCGGGATTCAATTCTCTTCTCCGGCGTTGAGGTTTGTATATTTGTTCATTGTACTATGTTTCGCGGCAGACTCCACAAAAATTACAAATCCCTGGGATTTTATTTGAGGATTCTTTTATGACAATGCTAATTACACTCAATAGCACATATATCAGATACCATATGCCTCCTTCCCCCAATGAAAAGCCAGTTGACTACCTCATTTCAATACATCCAAAGGACGCACCGCCGTAAAGGTCATGAAAGGAGGACACCGCAAAAAGGCATCCCAGTCCACACCCCCCAGAAGAGCATCAGGATAAGATGTCCACCGAAAATCACGCAGACCCGCCAACAGACAAGATTTCTGATACAGCACACTCGGCAGATAATAATTAGTGAAAGAGAAAGGCGTCGACGTATACAACGTGGCCCGAACCTCCAACCCTCCGTCCTCGATCTCACCCACGACCTTGAATCCCTGCCCGAAATAAGGCCCCGGAGGAAACCCCGAAGGATCGTCTAGCAGATCAAGATTCGGACTCATACCAATGATCTTCCCCCCAGGCTTCAGGCTGTTGTAGATGTTGCGCCACATGCCGATAAGCTCCTTCTCGTTTCGAGCGTAGTTGAGTAACCATGGTGCGAGGACGACGTCGAACTGCCCGAAGTTGAATGGCTGGCTGCAGTCGGCGAGGTGGAATTCCATTCGCTTGTCCCCTTTCGCGCAGGCGCGTGCTGCTGCGACCATCGCTGGCGATATGTCTACGCCGGTGGCATGGTGGGCACCCCATTCGATGGCCTTTCGGCAGTAGAAGCCCGGACCACAGGCGAGCTCGAGGATGGTGAGGCCTTTGACGTCTCCGATGAGGGATTGCATGGCGGCGAGTTGCAGTTTGCCTGTGGCAATCTCGGGAACATCATTGTAGAAATCGCCGATGGCGTCGTACTTTTGAACTGGCATTGTGATCAACTCTTTCTGGTGGGAGTTAGTCAATGCTGAGACATGATGAAGCACCAGAAGACTCGAGCTATATGTAACTACTATTGATTTGAGATGGATTGCTTGGCACGCGGGCACTTTTCCTGGCAATAGCCTGATTATATTGCTCTGTCGGCGCCCTCCGAATTGGCAGCAGCCACTTTTGAAGCTGGTACGTAATACTGTACACAAATTTTGCAGGAGATTTCATCTCGATTTATCATCCACGTTCTGGAACAAGTCCTTATTCTCAGTATGTGTCTCTTGTCTCCTTGCTATGTGTAGCCTTCCAAATGATCAACAGTTTGAGATACACTTTGCGAAGGAGCGAGTTAGGGTTTAGGTGTGATCTTGCAAGACCTTCCTTCCGGACTTTACAGTTTAACCTTGCGGCCTTATACCCCTTTAACGAAAAGGTACTGGCGGAGACGACTGATACTACTTCGTATTAAGTGGCCAAGAGTGATCCAAGCTGATAGAACCAGCAATTATAGGTTTCTACCAGGAAAACCCCGCAGATCAGCTTTCTCCGCCTGGTCTGGGCTCTGGGGTCTCGATCTTAGAACCGAGGCATAGCGTACCATGTGCTGAATGCATCAATAACATGGTGTTGGTGTGATGGTTTCGAATGGAGTAATTTCCCTCTTGGTGGATGACTATGCCTAAGGACCATGTGAAATATTCATCTGTCTAAGGGCAGATGGTCTCCGTCGTTGCCTTAATTAAGTGGAACGGAAGGATCTGTTTTGACAGAATGCCAAACATAGCAAACCTGCTATCGTGCCATTTCAACCCAATGAGGAGCAGGACTGCCCATGTTTGGTGAATGAGCAAACAGAACCACTAATCTCCGGGCCGTTGTTCCAAACATTGCAAACTCGGTTTTCTGTCTAAACACCAACTGCGAGCGAATGAGACTCTTGACAAACACAGACAACTGATATCAAATGTGTATTACAGCCAATGGCACCTGAAGTTATCATACCACGATGCTAGGAATGTTTGAACTAGAATGACTCAAATAATAGAGAGCCATGGAGCCACATTGCATGTATAAGTAGCCGTCTTGGTTCTTGAATCTAGGAGTTGCATCCATCATAATAATTTTCTTTGGTATTGCTTCATCATTCAAATAAAGTATTTTGGCCTATTGCATCGTCATTCAAATAGCAGACACTATGGCCGCGATAACAGGTGCGACCTTTGGAGAGAAGTTCGCAGATTTCAACGTGATTCAAGCGACGTATAAACAGGTGCACGGGCATGATATTCGAGCCGATGTCCTGGTCCCAAAGTCCCTATCCGCCAGAGGACCCAGACCGGTAATTGCTCGGTTTCATGGCGGTGGACTGGTGAGTGACCCCATCTGGTTCCCTCTGATGCTCTCCTGCTGACGATTAGTGACAGAGCTGCGCCGATTCCCTTTACGCAGACTGGTTCCCAAGGTGGCTGCTAGAACTCTCAGTAACATACAACGCCATAATTGTTTCAGCAAACTACCGTCTCCTCCCCGAAGCCACGGGTCTCGAAATTTTAGAGGATGTGGATGACTTCTGGTCATGGCTACATTCAGACAAATCGAAGGACTTATTAGCGGCCCAAGATTCGCCCATTGAGCTAGATCTGAACCGGGTTCTCGCCGCAGGAGACTCGGCAGGCGGGCTGCTCAGCATCTACTTGACACTGTCCTACCCCGACCAGCTTCGTGCAGGAACAGCTACATATCCCCAACTCAGTTGGGATGACCCGCCTCTCTATGCTCCACAGAGGAGTTCGCTTTCACCTTATGTCCCGGAGTCTGTGATAGAAGAGTATATTGCGAACATCAAACCAGGAGATGTTGTATCTTCCGATCCGGAACTTCGACGTGCGACTCTTGGCTCGGCACTTTCGCAGCACAGAAGAAGCCGCGGGTTTTACCTCCGGGACTCCGAGACATCACCTCGTCCGAATCGTCTCTCCCAGCTTGCACGATTGGATCTACCAGACACAAGGCTGCCCCGTGGTGGCTTAGTGATACTTCACGGCATTGAGGATGACGATGTCCTTTCGAAAGTGAGTGAGCGGTTTGTGGAGAAGGCGAGAGAGGTGTTGAGGGGACGGCAAGGTATTGATAAGCTAGTTCTTTCTTTGCAACCCGGTGGGCATGGATTTGATGTGGACGTGCCTTTGACCGAAGGCTGGCTGAGTAGCGCTCTCAAAAGTGCTCTTGACGCCTGGTTGGAATAATAATTAGCTATTTCGCTGCATTATCGTTAAATATGTCTAATGATATCCTGATTCTCTATACAACACCCGCAATCATAACCTTGAAAACATCCTGTCTTCCTGCCTTGACCAACTCAAACGCCTGTTCCGCCTCCTCGAATTTGAACCGGTTCGTAACCAGTCTTTTAACATCAATAATACCTTTTCCAATCAAGTCAATCGCAGCGGGATAACAACCTGTTAAATACCGAATAGACCCCTTGACAACCAACCCCCTGGTACACACAGCCGTAATCGGGAAATTAATGACCTCCTTGCCCATACCCGCCTGGACGATCGTGCCTCCATGGCGAGCAGCGAAAACGCCCATCTGCACACAAGGCTCCGCACCCGAGCACTCGAGCACCACGTCGGCCCCCTCACCCAGCCCACACTCCTCCTTCAGCTTCTGCGCCATCTTCTCCGCGTGCGCAATGGGGTCCGCACCCGGCTCGGGCTTCTCCGGCATAAACACATGGTCCACACCGTAGGACGTGGCAACCTCCAAGCGGGACTGAACGACATCAACCCCGATGACTGTCTTCGCGCCATGCGCCTTCGCAACCGCCTGACAGAGCACGCCGATCGGACCGCAGCCGAACACAAGCACCGTCTGGTGAGCGCGCAGATCGGCCGTCTTGGCGATCGCAACCGCCACGCTGACGGGCTCGACCATGGCGGCCTCTTCCATGCTCATGTGGTCCGGCACTTTGTAGCAGAAGTCGGCCGCGTTGACGTAGTATTTCGCCAGCGTGCCATCCCATGGCGGCGTGGCGGCGAAGATCATGCCGCCGCAGAGGTGGTAGGACCCGGAGCGACATTGGTTGCAGCGACGACAGGGCACGCCGGGTTCCATTGCGACTCGGTCGCCTGGTTTAAGGTGTGAGACGGCGGAGCCTACTTCCACGACTTCGCCGGAGGACTCGTGGCCCAGCACCATGGGGCCGGTTAGGACGTAGTCGCCTATCCGGCCTCTTTGCCAGCTTTAGTTCTTACTGTTAGTATGTATCGTTTAGGTATTTAGATGGGGAGGTGTGTAGACGGGGCGATAGGAACGTACTAGTGGACATCACTGCCGCAGATACCAGTCTGCTTAACGTGCACGATAACATCGTGGGGGTCCTTGAGGACAGGCTTCGGACGGTCTTCGATGACAACGTCCTTGACTTTGCGGAGGACAAATGAAGGGTTCTATGTTTGTTAATCGCATACATGGCATAGTAGGTAGTAGTCGGTGAACTTACCTCCATAGTGTGCTAGCGACTTATTCCACGAGATGAATTTTTGTGAAGAATATGAATATGAACAGAAACATTCGTCTTCCGCTCTCTTTATACCCATATTTCCTACATCATCGCCCCTCGTGGGGTTTGTTCTTTATCGCAGACTGTATGCGCGATTTGATGATATCGTCTCAGTAGACCCACGCGGCACTTCTTCCGAAAAAGGAAATTCTGGCGCAATCTTACCCTGTGTGGAAGATTAGGCGTATCCAGAATCTAGATGCGTGGAGCAGACTCTATGACTTATCCCTCATAGAGAACCACATAGTATACCCATGACTTATATACAGTCGATCCAGCCTAGCCATCCCCACAGGTCATCTTCATCTTCAACCCTACCATACAACCCCAACAGGACAAACCACCACCCAAAATGACATCCATCCCGCAGGCCTCCACCCTCCCCGACCTCCTCAGCCTCAAAGGCAAAGTCATCGTGATAACCGGCGCCGCAACCCGCGCGGCATCGGCTTCGAAGCCGCACGCGGCTGCGCCGAGATGGGCGCCTCGGTGGCCATAACATACCACACACGCAAAGACGAAGCCATCGCCAACGCAGCCACACTCGCCTCCTCACACGGCGTCAAGGCGCAAGCCTACCGCTGCGACATCCGCGACTACGCCTCCGCACAGGCCCTGGTGGCATCCATCCTGCAAGACTTCGGGCAGATCGACGGGTTCATCGCGAACTCGGGCAAGGCGGCCGATGCGGGCGTCCTAGACGGCACCGTCGACGACTGGAACGATATCATCCACACCGATTTGACGGGCACGTTCCACTGCGCCAAGGCCGTGGGTGAGCATTTCAAGGCCCGTGGTACTGGGTCGTTTGTCATTACTAGTTCGATGAGTGGCCATATTGCCAATTTCCCGCAGGAGCAGACGAGTTACAATGTGGCGAAGGCGGGGTGTGTGCATCTTGCTAAGTCGTTGGCGAATGAGTGGAGGGGGTTCGCGCGCGTCAATTCGGTGAGTCCCGGTTATATTGATACGGGACTTTCGGATTTTATTGCCAAGGATGTGAAAGATCTTTGGAGGAGTATGATTCCCTTGGGCAGAGAGGGCGTTGCTAAGGAGTTGAAGGGCTTGTATGTGTATTTGGTTAGTGATGCTAGTACGTATACTACCGGGGCGGATATCATCGTTGATGGGGGGTATACTGCGCGTTGAGCATTTGTTGTGAAGCGGGTAATGAAATCACTATTTGAGTGCTACGTTTATGAGAGTATATACCTCCTTCCTATGTATTTGTTTGGAAATAGGGCACACAGCTCTATGGGTTAGGGCTCCGACGGGAGACGGTTTCTATACTATCAGCCTCCCACTTCATAGTGTAACAGTAGTCTGAACCACGTCGCCAGCCGATAATAGCCATGGTCAACACACCTGGTGCTTTTCCTTGGAATTATGATTAATGTGTGAACGTAACCTACCCTGGAAAAACAAATGTAGTGTTCTCCACATTGGACACCCCGCGTTTTGCCGAATACGGAAATTCATGCGGGTGTGGATACGGCATTACGTATCCCTTGGCTACGCTCAGCGATCATACAATTTCATTCTTCCGACACATGTGTTCTGGTTCTAGATATATTCGGACTAAGTATTATGGGTGGTAATTCTCCCGATGGGTGCATTGCAACCGAATTAGGGAATTCTGGGTGGGAATTACATATGAAGGAGAGGGGGCAGTGTAGATATTTGTATATTCATGGCGCAAGTAGAACGTTTTATGTATATGAACTTCATGACACGCTCACTACCTAATTCCTTAGCGTAGTATCGGGTACAAGTGTTTGCTAATCGTGGTAATGGCATGAGGAATCCGTCTCGTCGGGCTCAACTCTGCGACTGGGCGGGGGACAGCCGTTATTAAAGCACGGAGATCTGTGGGCTTTTCTTCTCACCTCGTTTTGAGACTTGATAAGCCCATGTCTGGCCAGAACAGACCTGAGAGCCGCTTCTAGGGACATGGCAGACCGAGCCGTGGCGAGTCATCGCTTCGCACATCCTTGGTCACGTATCGCAGGCGCGATTGTGGCCAAGGGCAATCCGGGTCTTGGAGAGCAGAATGGTAGGCTTGGAAAGCTGATGGCAAATAGATTCCAACTGGAGGATGCGGGGAGAGGCGTGTGAGGCAGTCACCGATCGAAAATGCGGCGCGATGAAGGTCTTATTCGACCCAAATCGGAGCCTCGACAGGCCATATATGCTGTATGGTATCTCTTCCTAGGCACCTGGTTGGTCACGGAACTATATCCTTTTCTGCAGGTTTATAGGGAATTCCCCATTCCTCAGAGAGATCCTTCTGGCGATAATCAGTAAACACCCCAAGGTCATCGTCAATTTGTTGGAGGATGTCGAGTAGCTCCTGGCGCTCTCCCGTATCAGCTAGACACCGACCGGCCACATACAGAGGTTGCAAAAGATACTTCCTCACTGTGGAATTTGGAGCCCCGCGCGCGATGGCGATAATTTCCATTGCCTGGCGACGTAGATCCTGCTGCAAAGTATGATACGCAGTGAGAAGATCTGGGTTATTTTGCGACTGTCGGAGGAATGCCTCTACTGGACGATGAATGAGTAGCAACATCCGCGCCATATGGTAGAATGCCATAGAAATCGCACATGCATCCTTGGGAAACCAAGACTCATGGGCGGAGAGCTCCGAAGGAGTGGCCTGTTGCGCATTATCCGATCCGGCAAAATGGGGCCAAGAAACGCCGGAAGAGAAGGATAGCGGGAGAATGGCCTGCCATCGGTCAAACTGTTCGTTGATTGCGTTCCATTCAACTGAGTTGCCTAGATCAGAGTTGACCAGCTGGCACATGAGCCGGATCAATGCTTTGAAAAGGATCGTTTCTGCATGCGCTTCGTCTATGTAGCCGGGCATTAAATACCCACTGTCGTCTAGAGGCAGGCCCATCCTACGCCAGATAAAAATTTTGCGAAAGTCTAGCCGAGTGTTCCGTTTGTTGACATCTTGTTAATTTGGAGAGTCAGTACACAGCCCGTTCTAATATGTCAATCCAACTTACAGGCATCTAGCATGTCATTCAGTGCGAAGAACCAAAACACCGCATTCATGGCTTTCATCGGTTGCGGTACATGTACAGCTGTCGGTAAATTCATTGTATCACTAAGGTATGGCCGAAGTAGTTTGTAGATGCCATGCAAATGGCCCGCCCATGCCCTCATCGTAGCACTCAAGTCCTCGTATTGACACAGTATGCACGCTGCGAGAACCTGCAGCGTAGTTGCCGTGCTGTCATGGTCACCAAGGACACTGAGGTCATTGCTTTGTGGGGTTAAGCCAGTCTGGTATACTCCATAAGGAGAGAGCTGAGAAGTACAGCGCTCTTCATGAGAAAGGTGTTGGGCCAATATCTGGATGGCTTTATCATAATACTTGGCCCCGTAACATAAGAAGTCCAGACTCGACTCCGAAAATGCTTGCAGCATGAATCTGTGGTTTCGTGTCTGTCGTATTGCGCATTCTGGATTTTTCATATAGCCCAGTTGTTTGGCTGCAAGGGCAACAGCAGCATACCGCACCAGTGGACATACTGATGACAAAAGGACCACCTGCTCACTGAAGTACGGATGGTCGGAGCAAACATCCATCCATCGGGCTGGCTCCTCTGAAAAATAGCGCAGGAAGAAAGCGATCTCGTGGCGATCCTGGTCGACACTTTCAGGCGTGGCATCCAGAAGAGCGCACGAATCATTAATCGATGGCGCGATTCCGATCTCCTCCTGCTCATGTTGGATGTGAGTGTTGACAAGGGCCAGTGGATTAGGTTCTGCTGGGGGAGCGAGGGCAATTGGATAGGACAAATCAGCCAATGTATCTTCGCCACTATATAATCCCGGAGTATGTCGGCTCTCCAAGCTTCTTGCTATAGAATGAACACTAGAATCAGGATCTCCCTGCTGAGGTGGAGATCCCGGCGTGGCTGCCCTCACTTGGGGTCTTTCAACCGAAGGAGCTTCCGTAGCCAAGCTAACTGCATATTGGTCAGTCAAAGTTTATTTCAAGTCATCCATCTTTGATCGCCCTACTCTGATGCGGCGTTTGTCCCTCACCCACCGGGACATCGCGACCAGGGGTCTCTGCCCTCCGAGGAGGCTCTGGAGAGCGAGACCTCCGATAAGAAGGGAGACTTGTTCGTTGCGATGAGGACGACGCCAAAAAGGAATAAGTGTGGGGTCGAAATAGACTGTCGATGATGCGACAAACTCGGCCACTTCGGCGACACTGGCCACATTCTGGCTTTCGTTCGTCACACTTAATTTTGCGCTTCCGGCATTCGGGACTGCTGGGAGTCAGCTATGCGAAGCTAATGCATACAATTTCGGCATATACCAGCCCTTCCGAGACCGCTGGTGTTCTCGGCTTGGTGTAGTGTTGCCATTTTGTGATGAGGCACGCGCACGGCCCAACTGGCGCTGGCCTGTTCTATGCGGGGAAGACATGGGGAACGTCCATTGGCCAGGGTGACGAAATCACCGGTCATGCAAGGGGAGTGAAACAGTGTCAAGGGGAGCAGGTACCCCGTGGGTGAGGAAGATCAGGGTAGGAAGGGGTTGAATCAATATCGAGAGTAGTCAAAGTTGGCCCAAGCGAGTTGTCGTCGCAAATCTTTCTGGTCTGGGTAATTTTGCCTGGCACGGCTATATTACTATTATAGGCAGGTCTACCGCCCCCCAACGGAGCCCTAATTCCGATCAGTGTCCATCCCCAGGCCATGTCGTGCAGAACCTACAATCACCAAGCAAGCGCACAAACTGTTCATTTCTTATACTATAAAATGCCGTCCAATCACCCTTTAACGTCTATCATTCATCATTCTACAAGCTCATTGCCATAACTAGACTCTCCCTGGTTCTCTGTCTTTCTCGAGTTCAATTCCACAAAATGCCTCTCTACCAGTCCCCAAACTTGCGCGACAACGTGCTCTCGCAGTTCTCACTCAAAGGCAAAATTGTCGCTGTGACCGGGGGCGCTCGGGGCATCGGCCTAGAGGTGGTGCGCGGTTTAGCAGAAGCCGGAGCCGACGTAGCCCTGATCTACACCTCCAGCACCGACGCCCCCGAGACTGCCGCTAAGGTAGCCACGGAGACGGGACAACGGGTCCAGGCCTACCAGTCCGATGTTACCAAGCGTGATGTGATTGCAGCTACCCTAAACCAGATCACTGAAGAGTTTGGTCATGGAAAGCTGGACGTTGTCGTGGCTAATGCTGGGGTGTGCACCAACTGCCCCAACCTTGAGTACACCGAGGAGAGCTGGCGTCGCGACAACCTCGTTAACTACGACGGAGTTATGTGGACAGCCCAGGCGGCAGGAAAGATTTTCAAAAAGCAGGGTAGGGGCAACCTCGTCATCACTGCCTCCGTCAGCTCCATCCTGGTCAATATCCCTCAAACACAAGTCGCATACAATGCCTCTAAGGCGGCAGCGGTGCATTTGGCCAAGAGCCTCGCTGTCGAGTGGACTGATTTTGCGCGGGTGAACTGTATCTCGCCTGGATTCATTATGACTAAAAGTGAGTCCATCCCCACCCAGGAAAGGTACACTTTGGTAAGAAGGCTAACGGATGATGGCGTCAATAGTGCTCACCCAGCAGCCAAAGGAATTATTCGAACAGTGGCTCAACATGGTCCCTGGCCGCCGGATTTGCGACCCAGCCGAGTTGAAAGGTGTAAGTTGCGTATAACGCGTGGATTGAAGCTTATATACTGATCCTTGTTCCTAGGCATACGTCTTCCTGGCTAGCGATGCCTGCTGCTATATGACTGGAGCCAATATTGTCATTGACGGTGGATACACTTTGCCTTGAGGTCTTCATTCTCTTCTTTACTAGATAGATTATGTTTTATGCAGTTTTAATGAATTATCTTCTTGCTCGTCTTTCTTTCCGGGTTGGACTTGTAGAAGTGAAATGCAACTATACATTGATCACCTCGGACAACATAGTCTTGTTTCTCTCTCTCCAGAGTGATTCCTCGTAGATCCTTCCAAAATCGTGCATAATAGTAAACCTTACCTTTGAACTATCGGCCTGGCATGACGACATGGCGACTTGGTCCAGACTGGTCACTCCTAAATTTCCTGTTTGGGAAGTGGATCTGGATAGCTGGATAGCTGGATGGGGCTTCGTGGAAGACGCCGCCAAAGCCTGCGTCTTGACCGAGAGTTGCGCTGCGGTTCCCCAGACTCCACCCCATCATCGGGAATGCGTTTACCCCGCAAGTGTCGCACGACGTCGTGGAGCGTTGATTTGGCGTTACCGATTTCAGCGATGTTAGCATCGGGCCGAGCATCGCATATAAAAATGTATGTATATCGGTTGCAACCCTGAGTGTCTTCTCCAGCCTGCCTAAAGAGCAGTTTTCGATCTGTCTCACTCTATGCACCACAGGGGTGAGTAGGAGTGTTCTTCTATCTTTCTTGAGTTTGCATATTCAGATTATCTTTTATTTTCCTCGCAATGGCGTTCTTAAAGGACTCTCAGAAGAAACCCTACTTTGGTTTGAAAGGGGGGTGGCTAACGTTCTGGATTACTGTGAGCTCCTTGTCTGTCGAACTCCTGTTTTCGATATGTGACTGACTCCTTGTTTTACTGAGCAGGTTGCCTGTGCCACCGATATGAGTTTGTTTGGATACGACCAAGGTCTTTTTAGTATGCTTATCCGAACCCCTGACCCTCAAGGGGACTGCGTATGATACTGACCGATATCCTCCCAAGGTGGTGTTGTGGTTACGGAAGACTTTCTGGTAGTTCACGACCTAGTGGGACGCTCAAAGACCACGACGCTCTCCACTGTAACCGCCATCTACGACGTTGGGTGTTTCTTCGGTGCACTCGTGGCCTTCAGCATTGGCGAGCGCCTCGGTCGGAAGAAGTCAATCTTGCTAGGAACCACCCTTATGGCGATCGGCACCCTGCTCAAGTGCACGTCGTACAGTCTTCCACAGATATTCGTCGGTCGAGTCATTCTCGGGTATGTTTTTCCAATGAGTGGTTTCTTGCTCCTATTTCCTCTTCATAGCTGAGTTGAGGACAGTTTCGGAAATGGTATCAACACATCAACAGCGCCAATCTGGCAAACAGAGACTTCTTCTCCCAAATGGAGAGGGAAGCTTGTTTTCCTGGAAATGGTCATGAACATCCTTGGCTTCTCCATGGTCAACTGGATCAACTACGGGCTTTCCTTTGCCGGTGGTGCAGTGGCCTGGCGGTTTCCGATCGCTTTCCAGTTCATGTTTATCTTCGTTCTGTTTGCAACCGTCCCATGGCTTCCCGAGTCCCCGAGGTGCGTTTTCTACACTGTTCTTGTCCAGGCTTCCAAATATGTCTTGGGTCATTCACTCACTATGCCCCCCTAAACGCAGGTGGCTTATGCAAAAAGGATACGAAAAGGAAGCCGTCGAAATCCTTTCCTGCATTGAAGACAAGCCCGTCGACGACCCTTACGTTGTGGCACAGAAAAATGAAATCGAATACGCGATCAACTACGAGCGAGAGAATGCCATCCGATGGCGCGACATTTTTCTACGCAGAAAGACTGACAGCACAGACACCAAAACCTTGCGACGACTGATCCTTGGCGCCGGCACACAGTTCATGCAACAATTTGAAGGCGTGAATATAATGTCCTATTATCTGCCCACTGTTCTTATGCAGTTCGTCGGGCTTTCTGACTCGATGGCACGGCTTCTTACGGCAGTCAATTCAGTCACCTATCTGATTTGCACCTGCTGTGCAGTAGGGTTGATCGAGAGGATGGGACGCCGCGGCCTGATGATGCTGTCTACCGCGGGCCAGTTCTTTGCTTTCCTGATCATCACGATTCTGCTGCGCTATGCGGAGGCCAATGCTGATACACCCCAAGGACAGAAATTCGGCTCCGCCTCTATTGTATTCTTTTTCCTTTTCTACATTTCCTTTGGTCTTGGTATGCTCGAGATCCCTTGGCTTTATCCTACGGAGCTCAACTCCCTCCAAATGCGGAACAAGGGAGCTGCTGTGGCGACGGCCACAAATTGGTAACCTTCCTGCCCATATAAACTGTACTAGCGATCATGCTGATTGACTTAGGCTTACGAACTTTGTCATCGTGGAAATCACTCCGATTGGTATTCAAAACATCGGTTGGAAGTTTTGGATCGTCTGGACGGTGTTCAACGCTGCCTTTTTGCCAGTCATCTATTTCTTCTATCCTGAAACGGGTGCGTTCTCTCAATTGTTATTCTCCTCAAAGGTATACTGACCTTGATGTCGTTCTAGCCAACCGTACCTTGGAAGACATCGACGCATACTACCGTTCCAACCCGTCGTTGATCGTCGTCAAGGACCCGGATGCCATCTCCGTTAAACGCCCGCTGAAGTACATCGAGCATGAAGACCATGAGATGAGAAAGATTGGTGAAATCAAGACTAGGAAAGCCAATGACCTTATGGTAGAACATGTGGAATAAGTGAAATTGTGGGAGTGTTGACTGCATGGTGCAGGATGAATGCTTAACTAAGGAAACTATCTATACCACGTACGATGGCGTGATGCGTTTTGAGATATATTATATATTATAAGCGAGCCGTTTTATATTCAAGTTTTCTGGTCACAGTAACCCTAGACGACATAGATAGTATAGTCAAAGACTAGACTACTTATCCCTGAAACAGTGAACTGTCCATTCTATGATTCCTTCAACATATTTATGCCTTTGATAGTGTTGTACCAAAGAAGCTTGGCTCCACGTTCCGAGCCGTTAGATGTTTACGGAACCGCAAATTTATCCTAATCATGGTTTCCAATCTCTATCAGTTGTTGCCTTTTCCCATATTGAGCTAGCTGAGGCCATGGCTCAACCCTTCGAGACATGTGCCTCATGGTACAGGAGACTGATGACTTTTGTGTTTCTTTTTCATATTCTGAACAATGTAATCTGCAACAATATGAGGAACTCGGCGACTGTGTATAGCTTGTTCTTAGCTCTTCTATACATTGGGTTGGCCATCTTCGCATCAGATTCACACTCGCGTGGACACTACCTCAGAATAGCAGTGAACAGTTCGCTGGCTACCGCTCCGAACAAAAAAGAGAAAAGGAAAAAAAACACTGCACAGTGCTTTCCTCAATTAATAATCGATATCCTAAAAGCCCACTGGACACAGTAGTACCCATTTTCAAGGCATAAAGCAAGCCAGGTGTGGGGCGGTCCATGCAAATTAAATCCGTGCAAGGGCCCACTTCAGTCGTCTATCCAATTTAGAATAATCCTAGTGGGAAAATAGCCAGGCACCATAAGATTTCGTGAATTTTTCGGTCGCCTAGTTTACCATAGGAAGGTGGAATTGCTGCAAGTAATTAAGAGAAAAAAAGACGGGGAGAAGCAAGAAATCACAAAAGTGAGGATATTCCGAGTTAGGGCTTTGGGGCTTTAGAGTTTGCCGTTCGATTTGCCACATCGCCACGATGACGGAAGATCTTCGGCGGTACCATGAATGGGAGTGAGAGATTTACGTCGATTGTGTGAAAGATGAGGAAGTCCACAGTGAAAAGGGATAGGCATGCTGTCATCTACTGTGTAGAGAGGGCTGCGACCCTAGAATGGTGGGTGGATTAATCTATAAACCATGCACTAGCTCACCGAGCGATCGATATCGTTCATAGTAGTACTCCGTAATTCCAACAAAGCATTCTCCAATGCAAAAAGAAAAGGGGCGGAAAAGTGGAAATGCAACCAGATGAACTGATTGTGTACACCAAAGCCAGTAGCAGATGTAGTTCGTCATAGACCAACCGTACGGGTTGGAAACTCAGCTTGTTCCAGTGGTTGATTACCGAAGTTCACTATGGTTTCCACGAATACGCTCCCAGTGCTGAAGTGAAGTTCCCTGGACGGATCGAGTCAAATTCTGAAAAGCACTGCAGGAGTTAGCAGACGCATCGAGAACGTTGCATTAGTCGTACTCCACCCACGGCATCGTGGAGCTATACCCGTGGGTCTTCCAGCGCGTTGGCCTGTCACAAAGCCAGAAGCTCTTCACCGGCCCCAAGAATGGATTTGCCATCGAAGTGGCCGAGGGTTCCGTACTCCATAATGACGAAATTCCCGGTCGGCTCTCATGCTTTTTACTTGTCTGTTCGGCATGCCGAATCGGAATCCTCGGGGGTCCAGTCTAGGAACCCCCGGAACTAACTTTCTCGATTGAACGAGTTTTCAGGTCTTCGAATGTAGATTTCGGGGGTGCAGTTTCCTGTTCCTTTTCTATTCCCCTTTCATGAGACGGTCAAATTGGTTCGAAATCCACTGACGCCAGCGCCCTTCTGTTGACTGCCTCTCACAATGGCCGATCAACCCGCCAACAACGCCCCGCAAAGTCAGTCCAGCCATTCTTTTCTGGACAGGTTAGGACCCTAACGTTTGCTGTGAGTTTTATCACGGTCAGGCTGACACCCTCTTAGGCTGAAGGGCTTCTTTGGCTTTGATAACAACAATGTCGATCCCGAGGAATTGCGTAACAGCAGGATATCGAAATCCACACTTGGAACGGTCCAAATGATCCTGAGAACCCGTATGTAATCATGCTGTCTATCAAGATAGTTGCATTTGTATTTACTGACCCTTCTCAGGTTCAACTGGAGTCTCAAGTACAAATGGCTCCTAACGGTCACCGTCTGCTTTATGTGAGACACCTACACCCCTTCCCTTTAATTGTTCGCTGACACCTTCAAATAGCTCCATCTTGACTGGACTTCCGGCAGGAACATATGGCTCTGGAAATGACTGGATGGAAGAGAAGTTCCATGTCCAGAACTCCCCCTTTCCCAATCTGTACTGGGCTACGACGTCCTGGAATATGGGCGCTGCCTTCTGGCCGTTGATTTTTGTGCCTCTCACTGAGTCTTCTGGCCGCATGCTGGGTATTTTGTGGCCTATGTGATCCTGGTGATTTCTCTATTCCCGTCGGCATTCGCGAACAACTTCGCCACGCTGGTTGTCACCCGTTTCTTTGGTGGTGGTGCCTCATCGGTCTCCATCAACATCGTCGGAGGAAGCATCAGTGACGTTTGGTTGGGCGAGAAGGCTCGTAGTCTGCCTATGTCATTGTTCGGCTTCACCAGTGTTGTAGGTATCGCACTTGGCCCCTTCATCGGTTCGGCCATTGTGCAGATCCACAAGTCTGACCCCTGGCGTTGGTAAGCTATCCGTTATCCTCATGTACCAACACCCCTCTCTGACAGTGCATGAAAATATGCAGGATCTTCTACATTCAGATTATCTATAATGCCGCTCTTATTCCCGTATTTTACCTCATCCTCAGCGAAACCCGCCCAGATGTGATCTTGAAGAAACGGGCACGAAAGATCCGGAAGGAAACCGGCCGACCTGTGTATGCCCAAGCGGAGCTTGACAAGGTCAGCACTCTCAAACTCCTGCAGATCTCCTTCCAACGTCCTACGCGCATGCTCGTAACTGAGCCTGTCGTCATCTTCTTCACACTCTGGATCAGCTTTGCCTGGGGTATCTTGTATCTATTCTTCTCCAGTGTGGTCCAAACCTACAGCACCAACTATGGCTGGGGCAGTATGGCCACCGGTCTCGTCCAGCTCGCTATCTCCGTGGGTGCCGTCATCGGCACAGCCATCAACCCTCTCCAGGACTGGATCTATCAGAGTTCAGCCAAACGCAACTCCGAAAAGCCCGGGAAGCCCATCCCCGAGGCTCGCCTCTACACCGCTATTCCCGGTAGCTTGCTCTTCGCAGGCGGTCTGTTCTGGTATGGCTGGGCCAGTATGCCCGATGTGCATTGGATTGTGCCCACCATCGGCATCACAGCCGCCGGTATCGGTATCTACTCCATATACATGGCCGTGGTCAACTACCTCACCGACGCATACGAGAAATATGCCGCCTCAGCTCTGTCGGCTGCTTCGTTGGGTCGTAACTCATTCGGTGCTTTCTTGCCCTTGGCCTCGCCTCAGCTGTTCTCGAATCTCGGCTTCGGATGGGCCGGTTCCTTGTTGGGCTTTATCGGTATCGCGCTGTCGGTTGTCCCTGTCGTTTTGGTGCTAAAGGGTCCTCAAATTCGTCATCGTAGTCCGTTCATGCGCGAATCTATGTGGACTTCAGACGAGGTTGATGAGAAGGATGAGCCTAGTGTGGAGAAGGTCCCTACTGCCGAGATCCCGTAATGGCCCATGTTTTCCTTATATCGCCTGTAAAACATGGCTTTTGGTTTTGGTCTTTGCCAAGCCAATGATTTGCTCGTTATCACTCTTAGATTAAGTTGTGTACATATTAAGTCCGATTACATATTGGTCCAGAAGGGCTTCAAATACGTATGAATACATATATAGAAGAATCTTTGACAAACAGTAGGAACGCTTGTAGTCCTTGATAGTTGTACCGTTCCATACCCTGCTGAAAAACAGTTTAATATTGTACACGTATTCTTCTTGGGAGAGTGATAATTTCATCTACTAATAACTGTTCAGTTGACTAGGGGAGCGCAACACTCGATGTAGCAAACGAATACGGAGGCCGATTCGCTTTGCCCTTTATCGTACACTTGAGTTAATAAAATATCTGTGTTCTCACGGCAGAGCTCTCCATTAAAGATTTCATGTGCGGAATGCCCCACACTTCGCCATTGTAAGTGGCTATCTTGATGGGACCAGGTATATCCTCGCGGAAAGAAAGGATCTGAAAAGGGGGACTGTGGTGACTGGGCATCATTATTCTGGGCCGTCCGTGAATGTTGGCTCTAAGACACGCAAACCTCAGAGCCTGACGCTATAATTGCTGAACTGAATGCATATGGGGTAAGAACCTTGGTCCATAGTAACGAAATCAACTAGATTGTACAGGGCGGACAATCAAATCATTCACGAGTTCTAGACCTCATACATCCGATACCGAGTGGGACTTCCCAGGGCTAAGGGTCAGCGAAAGAACAATTATTTGGGCACCTTTGGATCACTGAATATACCTCCCTCGCAAACAATGAAAGATGGCAATTTAGGAATGTTGCCAGTCCCTTGACCTACTTGACACTGAACAATTCCCGCCACACGTTGTACATGCTTGTAAGGCTTCCATACACTCTCGTAGGTCCAGAATGAATACCCCCAGTCCAGATTTAGAAGCTGTCCCTCGGGCTGGTAGAAACAAGGCTTAAAATGGGCATTCAAAGAGTCACTGATAGTAAAGTCAACATATTAAGACATCAAGGAAATGTGCTGAGGCAGTAGTAACACCCGGGTATCATACATCGTAGTGACGGTTTATGTCCTCCCCCACAGGGCGTGACTACGAAACAGTCTCGCACCTTGCAGGGTCCAGATGTTCTTTCCAGTAAATTGGGTCTAATCACCTACCCTATCACCACTGCCCATTCCAGGTAGGAAGGTTATACAAGTTCTGTGTAGTTTAACATGCTGTCAGGCAGAGGCCTTATCTATGAACTAATGAGACACTTAATATTTATATACATTAAGAGACCTACATACGCAGGGTAAGTGGTAGAATTCCTCAGAGCATCTATATATCTATACTACACAAACCCATACTTAGAGAGACCCCCGGAACTATCATACCTATACGTCATAACTAGGAAGTTCAGGAGCAAACCCAGCTAAACAAATGAGACGATGAGACCACAGATTATTCAACACGTTGACCGAACACAGTATAGATAACCCAGAATTTATATTCATAGTAAAGCACACAACAAGCATATACCGGCCACAGGACCACTTAATATAAGCAGCAGAATCAGCCAATCAGAACTCAGGTCACTATAGCACCCTATATGCATGTTGTTAAGGTTCATAGTTCTCTAAGCTTCCCTCCATCAGGCATGTTACCACTAAAGGTCCACCCAGAAAAGGTTCTTAAACTAAGGAACCTTGCTTATAGGCCCTATTCACAGTGGAATGGGCCTCTCTAAGCACCACTGGTCTCAGCCGGTCAGCTCGCAGCCCCCATCCTCCCATAGTCCCACCGACCTCGACTGGAAGAGGAAGATGTGTCCAAACGTTCCCATGTCCGAATGTAATTCTGGGGGGACGTGAATTTGTATGAGATTCCTATACAAAGTGGGCCCATTTTATCTCTTCACTTTCCTGGCAAGGGTAATGGATGTGACATGTCATTGGAGTTTTTCGGTGTTTGTGGATGTTTTCACTCCCATTTGAGATATTATGAAAGGTGTTTTGCTACAGGGAACAACATGCTCTGTATATTTCCTCTGAAGTTCTTCACTATCACTCTCCTTCTTTTCTCTTTTTTTGTTTAAAAAAAATTATTATTATTCCATGTTTAAAATTACTAGCTAGGCAACGCCCATTACATCGACACCTTGCTGCCAAGGACTACATTCTGCATGCTGGCGTCCTCGTACCCCAGGCTTGGCAATGAACATCAGTTTATCCATTGTTATCACAACGTATTGGTTGTGGCTGAAACATATTGAAAGACTTGAGGAGCCATTGAGTTTTGTTGGAATTATTCGATACAAGGTGAACAGAGCCGTTCCAGGGTTCCTCCTGTCAGGTGGAATGCTAGGACGAGTCCGGAAGGGTGGGGCCGGCCCCCATGGTTATTGGTGGGGCAGAACACGGCGTACCGCTCAGCCTCATTGCGGCCCTCGTTATCATCCATCACCTTTCACCATCTTCTTCAACCTTCGATTTCATCTAATCTTCCATCATCTAACTATCGGTCTTTCGCTTGGTATTCTTTTTACTTTCTTACTCAACTTCTTCCGGACCAAAACCGATTACTCCCCTCCCCGTCTCAGCCAGGAACTGATACGGGAGTCCACAGCCATGGTCGTCTCGTCCCTTGTTCGCCGAGGCATGGAGCTGGCCTCCGCCAAAGACCGTGAAGTGCCCTCCATTCATCTCTCGGGGTGGTTCGCTGGTCTTTTTGTCTTCTCTGTCCTAGCTTTCTTTTTTGTTGTATTCTCGGTAAGGTCACTATTCCTTGTCATGTTCCTACTTCAGCAGGTTTTGCTCTAGATGTTATACGATCGCTAATACCATCTCTAGATCGAGTACACCTATGGAATGGTGGTTGCTACCCTCGCCGCCATCGAGGATACCAACCCTGATCTCTATATCCGTGTTGAGTCCGATTTCAATCCTAACAAGGATGTGGACCCGGTTGAGCCCGAGGCACGCACCCTTCGCCCGCAACCTGTCACTAGTACCCTGCGCACCTCCATTAAACATCTCCGTGCCCGTGCCGGCTTCTGGTCTCGTTTCCGCGGCTTCGGTCTGTTTATGACATACTCTCTGGCCGAGGGATTTCTATTCTCAATTCTACCTGTGTCCATGACCAACTTTGGCGGGCAGCTGGCCGCCAGAATGATCATCGGCATGGCCCTGGCCAACCTGGAACTGACCTGGGTACATATTGTGATATCCGAGCCCTCCTCCAAGCGCTTCTATCAGCGCATTCCCGGCTTCAAGAGCTGGCTGAAAATTGCACCCGTCGTTGCCTTCGAGCAAGGCGCTGTCTGTGCCGCTTTCTACATTCCTCTATTTATTGCCGGAGCTGCCGGAGCTCTGGGTGATTTGGTTGTTGATCCCAACGCTAACCTCCCACCGGCTGAGCTTGTGAGCCGCGCCGCCACAGCCATCGCCATCCCATCTCTACTTGCCGCCCTCGTATCCATCCCCGTGCGGGCCGTTACGATTCGTGTTGCAGCCTCCATGCTCCCAAAGGAGGATGACGCGATCGTACCCTTTGACCGCTCCTTCGGCGGAAAGGTGGTTCCTGCCACTCTGGGCGGCAGCGGTAAACTTAGCATTAAAGATGCATGGGCAACCTTCGATGGACCTGCTCGCATTCGCTACCTGAAGGTGATCGGTAAGGCCTTTGCCATGGAGTTTGCCGCGGTGATCCTCTTTTCAGTTGTACTTGGATGCCAAGTCCACGCAGGGGCATTGACATACGGTATCCGGCGTAGTGAGGCCAACGCTTAGCTGATCCATATATTTTAACGTACATGAGACTTTCTTATCTTTATCCTTGTTATCTTTTAATTTTATTACTCTCTCTATTTTTTTTTTTCTTTTCCTTTTGATTCTTTTTTGTTGTACAACTTGGACATGACTTTTCTCATCCTTGTGCCATACTCATTCACTACGAAGCACCGACCCGAGTGGCTATAGAGCCAGAAAAGTTTCGTCTTGGCTGTCCTGTTGACCTCTCCTATTGTGTTGATAGTGGCCCTTGGTTAGTTATGCCGAGGACAGATTTTTTCCTATTGCATCTGGAATGCTCAGTTGAATCCATTCTACGAGTATATTATGCACAAGACCGTCGCTTACGTAGTTGTTCCATAAGTTTAGTATAGATACATACGGAGTCGAGTGGCTGAGGAACAGACTCCGTCGATGCCTGACTAAGGCCATCCAACTGACCAATAGCCCCGCCCCCCACTCGATCAAACACACCGCCCTAGTGGCTATCCTTTCACCACTTCTCTCCTCACTGCTAATCTTTTCTCCCTTTCCTCCTCTTGGGTACCTTTGGAGAGTCCTCCTATTGTCGAACCGCTATATCAACTGCATGCGCTCCTAGGTCCCCGTCAGGCGCCATATCCCTTCATCCCGTTCCTCATTCTCGCCCCACGTTACCCCTCCCGAGACCAGAGCCACCACCATGGCTACATCACCAGCAGGTCGCATGCTGTTGGGGCAACTGCAACAGATGCAGTCTGCTAAGGACCTTCCTGGCATCAGCTGTGGGCTCGTTGATAATAATGTGTTTGAGTGGGAAGTCATGCTCATGATCTCAGACGATGTCAAGTTGTACGGCGGTAAGTCTATAATCTGACGGTTCCGGAAAGATTCGATAATCCAGCAGCATATAGACCCTCAGACACTTACTGATTGGCTTTGGATTTTTTTTAACAGGCGGCTTCTTCCGTGCTCGACTCTCCTTTCCTCCCGAATACCCACATATGCCACCGAAGATGAAATTTGAATCACCACTTTTCCACCCGAACAGTATGCATCTTCTCCCCTCATTCCCCGCTCTGCTTGTCTATCCCGAACCAAACGCTGATAACCTATAGTCTACCCCAATGGCGACGTCTGTATTTCCATCCTGCACCCACCCGAGGAAGACAAGTACGGTTACGAGTCTGCTGCAGAGCGCTGGTCCCCCGTCCAGACCCCGGAGACAATCCTGCTATCCGTGATCTCCATGCTCTCAAGCCCGAATGACGAGAGCCCCGCCAACGTGGAAGCTGCCCGCCTATGGAGAGAAGACCCTAAGGAGTTTAAGAAGCGGGTTCGCAAGTGTGTCCGAGACAGTTTGGGCGAGGAGTAAAGCGCTCTTGATTCATAATGAGATTTATGCGTGACTGGTGTTGTTGGCCATTGGGTTGAAAGGCTTGAACTTTTTTTTTCCGTTTTACCTTCGCATGATGGACTATTAGTCTATCGAGTAGCGCCAGCTGTTTGTCTCCGCGCCTTTCTTATCTTCCATTCATCTAAGTTCTCTGTCTCCCCTGGAGTTACGTGATATCGGCTCGGAGTTGAAATTTGGACTTTCTCGTTTTGCATTGCCGTTGTTTCATAGTTCCTTGACCATACTGCAGCATAGCGCTGCCAACATATGTTCAGTTTCTGAACGAAATGAATATATCTATCTGCATGTATCTTGAATTGTTGTTTATTTCTGTTGTCATGCTTGGGGTATCTTGAGACATATAGGATGAGTAAGTATATCAGGCGGCTTCCATGTTTTTGCTCCCCTTCCTCAAGGATGGGAGGAAGAATCCGGGATGGAAAACTGTCAAGGCCAATACCGCCAAGGCAACCATCCTGGTGAGCTTAGCAATCTGCATGGTCGGGAGAAGTCTATGAGGGTACTCACATTCCATCCAGAACCAGAAACTCGTCCTCCTTTTGCATCAAGGGGTTCCCCCATCCGCCTGCCATCTCTGGGATACTGCATATCACGTTAGTACAAGCGATTCACATCGTCCCTGAAAGACTTACCGATAGATACACCGAATTAAGACCGTAAAGTAGGCAAATATATCTGCGATAACCACCAGCTTGATATTGTTCCGTCCGTTCCCACCGTCCAGAGCCTTCTCTCCCGAGCTACGACGAAGATAACGGATGAAAAAGTCCAGAGCCAACACTCCACAGACGGACATGGTTGCGACCTGGAACGCTATACCCGTGATGATAATGTCATTTCCTGCATTCAGAAGATCCTGTTGGTCACTTCCAGCAGCAGCCGCCACACCACCACCAGCCGCCTGCAAAATCAGAGACCCAATGTCACAGCCGATGAAGATCCAGGTGAACAATTTCGGTTTGAGGCGCGAGTGTTCCGGTCCCAGCGAAAGGATGATGTGCTTCAAGGTGAGGTAGATGCCCGCCGCGATGAACGTTGGCCCCAGAATAATCGCCACGATTTGCAACTTGAACGCGCCGCCATCCCAAGGATTTTTATTCATCAATACTCGACCGATATAACCCGCCATCTCGAGAAGCGTGCCGACCACCAGCGCCACCATCAGCGTCCACGAGCGGAAATAGATGCCGAAACCGAGTTGAAATACGCCGCAAATGCCATAAAAGACCGCGAAGAAGATGTTACCACCATAGTTGGGGTAGTAACCGTACGTTGTAGCTTCGACGGGGCACAAGGGCGTGACTTCTGTACAAGTGTTGTAGCTGGCCATGTTGGTTCGAGCTTCGAAATTAGTATATGTATACACGAGAAGAGAAAAGAAAATGAGCCAAAAAAGAAAAAGAACGACGGGCACCAGAAACGAAAGTATAGAAGAATAAATTTATGTGGCGTCTAGTCTATGAAGATAAAGAATTAGGGAGAGACCGTTGGGACAACTTGATGACTGGCTCCTCGTATATATTTAATACCGGAATACTATTTTAAAGTCCCGTTTCTCTTCCCCGATTGCCATGACTCGAGTGGATCCTGTCGGCAAATTCCTGCTTCTCATAGAAGAAAAAGCATGCTTTGGGAGACTTGATTGGATCGCATTCGCTCTCGCTCTCGCATTCGTGTTCGCAGCCCCACTTTTCCTTCTGAAATTTGATCGCGGGCCCTAAACTGATTCATTGATCCGTAAGCTCGATGGCTATGTTCTGACTCGAAGGAGCACCGAGATAGCCACCTGGCGCCAGGCTGACATATTTACCCGTCTTGGTAGGCCGTGCTTACTCCCCAAGACCTTCGATAAGCCTCAATATATCCGTAGTGAAGTCGCGGTCCACAAAGAACAGGGAGATGTCCTGTAGAGTGCATCCCGGGCCCTGACCGAGACAATACACTAGTTATGGAGTAGCGGCCGCAGCGGGGAGCCCAAACCCCACTGCGTCACTGCCTCGTTTGGGATTTGAATGGAGAGTACCCCGTATCTTGGTGAGAAAGGAGGACAGTTGTACGGAGTAACCTTCGCCCTCATCAAAATTCAATAGCTGCTATGCCCGGATCCACGTGACATCAGCTGTCTCCCACGGAGATTTTCCCCACGTGCCCCCCACGTGTTCCTCCACGTGGTCGCCAGTCAGAGGAAATCTGGTGTCAAATGCACTTTAGTTTCTTGTGGATCGACCATGCCACGGAGGGCCCATACCAAATCGCGCAATGGATGTGATCAGTGCAAGAAGAGGAGAGTCAAGGTAGGTCGGTTTGTTTTTTTTCAGTCAATTCTCCCATGTGTCCAATCCTACCATGATCTGGAACTGAACATGCTTCCCACTCCTCTGACATTTTCATCAATCTATATCCAACCTTATTTCCACTTTGATTAGCTAAAGCAGCTTAAACTCCAATTGGCTTTCTTTTCATAGCTTTTATACCTGTTCTGCCTTGCCCTAACATCATATAGTGCGACGAAAAAGGCCCACCATGTTCAAATTGTGTCACCAGAGAACTTCGCTGCACTTACTTGAACACTCCTGCAGCACGCAACATAGCCAGTTCTTCATCTGCGAGTCCGAACTCCATACATCCCGGACTGGGTCCAACCTCGGATGAAGCCAGTCACCCCTTCGTTGGCGCAACCGCCAACGTTCCATTTACATATTCTCGCAAGCGGGAGCTAGAGCTGATGCATAAATTTTCCACGGATACATATCGAAGTCTTTGCAACAAAGAATCAGATCACTATGTATGGCAGGTTGTCATGCCACGCAAAGCTCTGGAGCATGACTTTCTCATGAGTGGAATCCTAGCAGTAGCCTCCCTGCACACGGCCTCCGCTTTGGAGCCACCACAAGCTTTGTCTTATCTCGATACGGCCCTCGAATACCATAACCAGGGGCTTGCACCCTTCCGACACGCGATTGCCAATCTAACCCCACTCAACTGTGACGCCGTATTTGCCCATTCCGTCATCACCATTATGATCTGCATATATCTCCCCCGTTTACCAGGACCCAGAGGCGAAAGCTCTAGCATGATCGAGAACCTTATATTCGTATTCGAGTTACTAAAAGGCGTGGCTAAGATTTTCTCGATCACGCGGTCCTGGCTGGAAAATAATCTATTTGTCTCTAAGAACGGCTTCTTTGCGAAGTCGGGTGCCCCGCTAGACGCCGGAGCTGAGGCTGCTTTGACTCGTCTAGCCGATCTAAACGATACACTCCTGTCCAGCATCGATCCAGACCAACATAGCATCATCAAAGGCGCCATCTCTCATCTCCATCGTAGCTTTGCTCGCTACGCACATGAACAAGATGCAGCTTCCGTCCTGTCTTGGCTTGCATGTGTCGATAAGGAGTTTGTGCATGTTGTTTGTCGTCGCCAGCCGCTTGCTTTGCTTGTTCTCATGCATTGGGGCGTTTTACTCGCCGAGCTGGATGGAAAGACATGGTGGGCTCGGAATTCCGGTTCTGCCCTCGTCTCTGAGATTCTGGTTGCTCTACAGGCGGGTGATGCCCGGTGGGAAGAGGCGGTTTTATGGCCGAAACAGAAACTAGGTCTTTAAGGTGATTCACCAGTACAACCCATTTTCGAAGCTCTGAGGATTGGCAGGCAGGCGCGTTCACTTTGACCGGATACCCCATGGCAACTGCGTTGATGACAAAAGTACACTTCTCCTGGTAGCGTCTCCAAGATTCATTCCTTCGCCGCGGGGTAAAATGGAGGGGGCCTATCCTTCAGGGAGCTTCCTAAACTGAAATACGAGGCAGACTCTCCACCCACGGAATCTCGAGCCCAGCAACATGCCAGGGCAGAGAACTCCGCAACAAGGGATAAACCATGAGTTAACTTAAGTTCGCCATCACTCATTTAATATACAGGGGTGATCACATTAGAAGGATGGCCTGTGATGGTGCAAAACTCATGCACGTATCGGCAGCATTAATGATAGCTGGCCTCAATGAAGTACCTATATTTTAAGCCAGTTTTTATATCTGAGAGAGCAAATAAAGCTCGGCCTATGCTGTCCATCTCCATTTAGCCTACGTGGTTGGATCCCAAGGGACTCATCAAGTAGAGGTTACAATTACAAGGACACCTTAACTGCCATTTTAGATGGATGAGTTCCAGCCGATTCTGTCCGGTATCACAGTTCTGTTAAAGTCGAGGCTACAAAACAAAAAAGAATGCACGGAAGCAGAGGCAACGGGGAAACAATTATAGTTTCGATGGAACCGAGACAGGCAAAACAGGCCTACATTGAGTGATGAGCATGAATGAACCTGCAATGTTCCTTCGCAAGTTCTTGTCCGCTAAGGGATGTTCGAGGCGAGGCGGTGGGGAGAGTTTTGGAAGCTTAGCCTTTAGGGTTGAAGATCCGCCCCCGAGGCCCGGTTAATCTTAACCGTAGCGGACGTCTGCTCTCTTGGCAGTGGGGGAAGTCTGCGGAGTTGATGCAATTATGAGGGACTCTCAACATACTTAAACACCCTCGTCTGACACCGTCCTTCTCAAATTAAATACGCATCTTCATTCTCCGTCCAAGGGCAGGGCCGTAAGACTGCACTCGAACAACTTTCTATATACTACCTTATAGCCTTTTGCTGCGTCGAGTATTTGAATTCAATCACCATGCCTTCGTCGATGCATCCATTCGATCCTCTGACACCCAGAGAGATCTCCAAAGTAGGCTTTCCATATTACACAGAAGATCGTTGTTGACCAAGAGCAGGCTGCACACATTACACGCTCTGCACTACCTGGAGAGAGCCCCATCTTTCGTGTGATAACGCTGAAGGAACCCCCCAAGCAGGACATGATTCACTTTCTCGACAAGGAGCACTCTGGGCAGCCGCAGGATACACCCCCTACTCGGGTAGCTCGCGTACAAGTGGTCGTCCGCAGCGAATCTAAGAACAAACTAGTTGAGCTGCTGATTGATCTTGACCATGCGGCCGTTATCAAACAAGAACATCTCGCAGGGAAGCATTCTTACATTGACTCTGAATACATGAAGTCAGTTGAGAAAGCCTGCTTGGCCGATACAAGGATTCAAGAGGAGATCAAGAAGCTCAAACTTCCCACAGGAGCAACAGTCATCGTCGAACCGTGGGCATACGCTACGGATGGTATGAACGACATGTCCGAGCGTTTAACCATGGTGAATATACTTCCTTCACAGCTAATGCCTGACTGGAGCTTCGAAAACTAACAATTTCATGTAACAGTGTTGGTTCTATATGCGCTTGCTCGACAGTCCTGATGCCAACTACTACGCCTACCCGCTGGATCTATGCGCAGAAGTCTCCGAACAGCTTCAGGTGACCAAAATATACCAGCTTCCATCATCGTCAGACGAGCGTATCCACGACCACCCAAAGCCATATGACCAGCGCAAGATCCATTCCACCGAAGCAAGCGAATACCACCCAAGCTTGCGATCATCGCCGCGCAAAACCACCAAACCATACCAGGTGGTCCAGCCCGAAGGTCCCTCGTTCCATGTCGACGGTAACGTTGTCACCTGGGAGAAATGGCGCATGCGTATAGGATTCAATTACCGCGAAGGCTTGACTCTGCACGACATCCGCTACGACGGCCGTAGTCTCTTCTACCGTCTATCTCTAGCTGAAATGTTCGTGCCCTACGGAGACCCCCGCGCCCCATATCCTCGTAAGGCGGCCTTCGATCTAGGAAACGACGGTGCCGGCATCAACGCCAACAACCTGCGTCTGGGCTGTGACTGCCTAGGCGTAATCAAATATTTCGACGGCTGGCACAACACCAACTCAGGCGAACCACTAAAGCTCCCCAACGTGATCTGCTGCCACGAACAAGACGACGGGATCCTCTGGAAACACACCAACTTCCGCACCCAGAACGCAGCAGTCACCCGCTCCCGCGTCCTAACCCTGCAAACCATCATCACCGTCAGCAACTACGAATACATCTTCGCCTTCTACTTTGGCCAAGACGCCTCAATCCACTACGAAGTCCGCGCCACAGGCATCCTATCCACCTGCCCCATCAACCTCACCGACAAAGTCCCCTACGGCACCATCGTCGCCCCCGGCGTCCTCGCCCCATATCACCAGCACCTCTTCTGCCTCCGCATCGACCCAGCCCTCGACGGCTACTCCAACTCCCTGCAAGTCGAAGAATCCATCCCCATACCCCTCAACGACCCCACAATCCCCAATCCCTTCGGAGTCGGATACACAACCACCCACCAAATGATCGAACACGAAGCCGGCCTCGACCTCGACTTCACAAAAAACCGCACCTTCAAAATCATTAACGAACACTCCAGAAACCCAATCACAGATACCCCCGTCGCCTTCAAACTCCTCCCCTGCTACTCCCAAATGCTCCTCGCCCACCCAACCTCCCACCACGCCAAACGATCTGAGTTCGCCTCCCACGCCGTCTGGGTCACCCGCTACCACGACGACGAACTCTTCCCGGCCGGCAGACACACCATGCAATCTGCCGGCGGCGAGGGAATTGCTTCCGCCATTGAAGCTCGGAGCCGAGCTATGTCGGAGTCGAGTGTCCGGAATCGCGATATCGTGGTCTGGCATACCTTCGGCTCTACGCATAACCCCCGCATCGAGGATTGGCCCGTCATGCCCGTCGATAAGATGGTGGTTGGGCTGAAGCCTGTGAACTTCTTCACGGGGAATCCCGCGTTGGATGTGGCTGTTTCGACGCAGGAGCGAAATAGGAGTGTTCTTTTTGAGGAGAGTGGGAAGGCTTCGGGTTCTGGGTGTTGTAAGTTGTAGATACTAGTATCTGTCTGTTGGGGCTTGGTTTGGGGTTTTTTGTTTTGGGGATGGTGGTTTTGGTAGATTAGATAAATTGTTATACTGCTTTGTTGTCGTTCTTTGTCTCAGGGTTTGGCTTTGTTTGGGTTCTCGGCTATAGCTGGGATTTCATATCGGTTTAAGTACGAGGAATTTTCATCATTGGCATGCCCAAGTATATAGAGTGACATTGCGCAATTCACGATATGACTAGAGAAGGCGCAATGCATCAATAGCCTCATTGCAGATATACATCTGGCTATATTGTTAGGATATGTACTACGTAACATAAGTCAAGACAATAGAAGAATAATCCAACTGCCACGGTCTATCATGGTGTTAGGAGCTCTTGTTTCCTCCGCCTCCGCACCAGCATCGCCCGTCGCCTTCTCGTTCTACTTGGACCAGGATATCCATGCCCTTTTCTCGGAGGAAGTCAACGGTTCGTTGGCGCACGTCTTCTAGGTCGGAGCCGCGGGACGCGATGACATGGATCACGCCCAGTACATTAGGGTTGGACTTTTCGTGTGCGTGGTCGTGGTCGTGATTGTGGCTGTGGGAGTGAGAATTGGAGTGCGAGTGGCTGTGGGAGTGCGAGTGATTGGGACTGTGGCTGTGACCATGGCCATGACCATGACTATGATTGTGTTCATGACTGTGGTCGTGATCGTGATCATGATGGCTATGGCTATGGCTATGGCTGTGACTATGGCTGTGGCTATGGCCATGGCCGCAGCCGTGGTCGTGGTCGTGGTCGTGGTCCGATTTTCCTGTATCATCGAGCCAGAACTTGGGAACGGTGTACCCTACAACTCCCCGTAGGGTGCTCACGCCAGCTAGAGTTTCACGGACATTATATTCGACGTCGGCCGGAAGGGTTAGAAGCAGTTTCTTGGCAGTGCTGCTGACTAGCGGCACAGCAGAGGCAAAAATCAAGATGGCAATCATGCATGAGGCGATGGGGTCGTACCCTGACCAGCCAGAGTAGTGTACAAGAATGGTTGATATCACAACGGCGACAGAACCAAGGGTGTCAGCAAGAATGTGGAGAAAGATCCCGTGCATGTTCTCATTGTCGTGTGAATGATCGTGGCCATGGTCATGTCCGTGATGTGCATGGTCAAATGCCATGATACCCACAAGATTCACGGCGAGACCGGCAGCACTGACCACCAACAGCTCTCCGATACGATGCATCTGGCTGCCTGATGATAGCCTTTCCACCGCTTCGTAGATGATTTCAATACTGATAATCCTAGAGACAAAGTCAGCAATACAACCTGATGACGAGCGGGAGGCCACTCACATGAGAAAAATACCGTTAGCGAACCCCGACAGTGTGTCTACTTTGCCATATCCATAAGGGAATCTCGCACTGGGTGGCCATTTACTCATAACAGCGGCGCAGAGGCCAACAACCAGCGCAAGACAGTCAAAGAACATATGGATACTATCACTGAGGAGTCCCAATGACCCTGTGAGAAATCCATAGGATAGCTGAACGAGCATGAACGCAAAGTTGAGACTAGCAGGGTCAGCCATAATGAAGTGCACAAGAAACAGTGGTCTTACGTCATGAAATAGAAGATGCGACGAGAGTCACTCTCCTTGAGAATGCTGTACAGTAGTGGATATGGTTCACTATAGCGGAGGATGAGCTTCGTGATGGTTGACGCATCATCATTGGAGTGGGTGTGGTGGTGGTGATGGTTATGGGCTTGAATCCCCAAGCGCAACTGTCTATCCTCAAACCTAGAGGTAAGAACCGCGATCCCAGCAAGGATCCCCCTGAAGATGAAGACCACATAAGCACCGTCGTGCGGTGGTGGTGCGCATAGCAGGGCGGCGCCACCAGTTGCAATGGCAAGACCAATCTTGTGCGGCGAGCGTAAATTTGTCGGTGTCACATACATTAAGCATGCTGCAAAACCACCGGCAGCTGCCACTACATACATCATACCTGAAAGATGGAAATATAAGCCCCCGGCAACAGTGGTGCCAACTGCTAGTAGCAACCCAAGGAGAGCAGTCAGCATTGGATCGCTAGGAGAAACACCAGATGATTCCAGTCTGGAAAGTTTCTCCTGTGGTACTGCTGCGTCATAGGCAGGGTCAAGTGTAAAGGCCAAGAAAGGCGGGCGAATGACAAAAACCGACACAAGCAATGATACATAGCCCAAAAAGGGCTCTGCGTCCCAAGACGTATTCAGTGCCAGAAAGCTCAACACGACCACGGTTGCGATGACACCAATTGTCAGTTTCTTTTGACTCAGCCGTGCTTTGCTATCTTGAGAATCATAGCCGCGCGCAAGTGTCGGCACCCCGGACGCGATTGCCAGAGCAAGTACAAATGCGACAAGGAAACCACCCACCTTGAGCGCCGCATAGATGGGTAGTGCAATTGAGCTCATTTGCAAAAAGGAAGCCGTAACAATTTTCGAATGGAGTTTGGGTGGTGTGACTCGAGAATCACTTCTATCCCGTTGGGCTACTCGAAGTAGCTGCCCTCCTCCCAATATGATCATTGTTATGGCGGTCAAGATACATGTCCTCGATGGAATGTGATCTAAATGCTTCGTGCCTGAAGATGTGACACTTTCATCATCAGTTGCGGGTTGCGAATCCGTCCATTGTGCATGGTGTGTATAATACCACGAAATGGCGATCCATGGCAAAGCTATTAGGGCTCCAGCAAAAATTTCATGACTAAACGGTCGTTAACTAGTGATATCAACCAAGGATATGGACGTACTCACGTCCTCTGTGACTCGGGGCTTGACGATATGATAGGCGTATCCGGTACCAGCCCTGTTACGCTACCAGAATGGCTATGTTTCGAGTTGTGCGGGTGAACACCACTGGCGTGGTCGGACTTGCCCCACGTGTCGCCATGACTTGAAGATTGTGAGTATGAATGTTGGTGTCCTTGCCACGAGCTCGATGCATTGCCGTTGACGTATGTCGACCCAGTCAATGGTTGCGACGGTTGTTGAGTGGAAGCTGCGTCAGATGCAGAGAAGGAGATCGGCCCCTGCGACCAGCGTTTGGAGCGTGAGTGACCACGACTAGGAGTGGGCTTATACTGTCCCTGTGTCAACAATGCGGGAGCAATTGTATCCACACTGGACACAGGAGCGCCCGTTGACATGGTCTCAGTGTGCGACACCTGCTTCGTAGAAAATCGGTTCAGCGACGATCAAGCAGACAGGAGGCGGAGAGGTCAAGGAGGTTCGAGGAGAGCAATCAAGGAATGGGGGCGTTCTGGGAGCTTTAGCAGCTCAAAGAAGATATCTAACCGGGCGATTGAGGCAAGGGACGCGGCATAGCGCCAAGGATAACAAGCAGACTTGATGCAGAAGCAAGCTTGGTGAACAATGGGAGTGGCAATGGGAACCTCCAGATGCGATCTTCAGGCGATAACAGCGGGCCACGTGATCGTACTCCTCGGTTCGTTATCTCCGCACCTCCAGATCAGAACTACTACATGCAATTCCTATAATGAATACAGAAAAGATAAAATCATAAATAAGATGTAATAAATCGGCTTCAATGTCTAGAATCAAGTGGGAACCTCAATCTAGTCATTGTCCAATAAGAAAATGTGCTGCTGACTCCCAATGTGGTAACCAACCGCTTTGCAGGTCGATAATCCCTTGCCCTTGCAGCATCGCCGCGCGGTTGATCTGATGGAAGTGTGGGGGGAAGAAGACCGGGCCATGTTTACTCCGTCTTTACACCGATCGTCATCTTGCACCACCTTTACAGGATTAGAGCTCCTGCGGATCTTCCAAACACCTCACCGGCATACAGTGAGAAACTTCTATGGTCTCAAGATAGTCAATTGACCTCTCTTACGCATTATGATTAATATTCAAATTGTCTAATTTCCCCACCCTTCAACCGCTCGCCATGATTGAGTCCTTCATTAGCATCGCTTTCTATATCTCCACCGTGGTCACCCTCTTCATACTTCTACTACCATCACAATATGCGCCGAAACGCTCAACAGCGCAAGATGCTTCTACCGACCCCAAAACAACTGTACAGATTCTCGTCCTCGGGGACATCGGTCGTAGTCCGCGCATGCAGTACCATGCGCTGAGCATTGCCAAAGGGGGAGGCCAAGTGGAAATCATTGGTTATCATGGTACGGAGCGATTCCTCTTCATCGTCACCTCCTTCCCCAACGTTCTAACCCTCTCCTGTAGAATCAGAAGTTCATCCCGATATCTCTTCCGACCCCAGAATTTCGATTGTTGCACTTCCTCCACACCCAGCCTGTCTTCAAACAAGCAACAAACTTCTTTTCCTAGTATTTGGGCCATTGAAGGTCCTCTTCCAAGTTGTCTGTTTGTGGTGGTCATTAGCCTATCGCACGCGCCCAGTGAAATGGCTCCTTGTTCAGGTTGGTCCCCGGTTTCGCATAACTTCCAACGCAACCCACGCTCACCCAGCGGCTCGTATCGCGTAGAACCCTCCATCCATTCCAACTCTAGCGGTCGCATCCCTAACCTGCTTTCTTCGTCAAACGAACCTTATTATCGATTGGCACAATTTTGGCTACTCCATCCTGGCGCTCAAACTTGGAAATGGTCATCTGTTGGTCAAACTGTCGAAATGGTATGAGAAGACATTCGGAAGATATGCCACGGCACATTTGTGCGTCACAACAGCCATGACGTCTGTCCTGAAGAAAGAGTTCCTACTGGAGGCACCTATCCTGCCGCTGCACGATCGACCAGCCCACCACTTCCGGCCCATACTTGATGAGGACGTTCGACAAGAATTTCTCTTATCCTTGCCGGTAGCTGCTTCCGTACAATCGCTAATAAAGTCTGGGGCCCTTCGCATTCTAGTCAGTTCAACGTCGTGGACTGCGGATGAGGACTTTTCTTTGCTCATCGATGCCCTCTGTCGATACTCGGAGTTAGCAGCGACGACCATGCCGGAACTGCCCCAGGTGCTAGCCATCATAACGGGCAAAGGCCCACAGAAGGAAATGTATATCAAGCAGATCGCCGACCTAGAAAAAGCGGGCAAGCTCGAAAAAGTGACAATACGCACAGCATGGCTGACCACCACGGACTATGCAAAACTCCTGGCATCCGCTTCACTCGGCGTCAGCCTACACACAAGCAGTAGTGGTGTCGATCTGCCTATGAAAGTAGTTGATATGTTCGGCGCTGGTCTGCCAGTGGTTGGCTGGAACCGCTTCGAGGCGTGGCCAGAATTGGTCACCGAAGGTGTTAATGGGAGAGGATTCGGGAGCTCCGATGAACTCGTAGAGGAGCTTGTTGAACTCTTCGGAGACACAAGTAAGCTTGACAAACTCCGCGTCGGAGCGCAGAAGGAAAGCACTCGTCGCTGGGATGACGAATGGAATCCAGTAGCGGGAAAGCTTCTAGGAATCGTATAAACAGTAGCCTGTACAATAGAAATACAAGGATAGAGGAAAAGAACGAAAGAAAGTCTTACTGCTAGGCTTGAAATTTGCCGTTGCAGTATATACAGGTGTCGAATACGTCTGACAGGGTTCGACAGGTGTATTCGAGTTCGTCATGCACAAGATCCTCGCTGAGATATTCTGTTCCACAGCGCGAGCAGAATTTCGAAAGGTCTGGCTCTTGAATAGCCAGAAATGTCACACCGCACCGCACTATTGTTGACAGTTAGCGCTTGTATCGTCACTGGGAACGATCTCCACCGAGCAGTTACGTACCAAACAGATGGCCAGCCGCACACTGAGCTTCCACGGCGGAGTACCAGGAGAGCCCTGCATCGCATATAGCACATTGTTCGAAGATCTGTTGGCCTGAGCCTGAAGCTGCTCTGCGGATTTTGAGTCTATCGTACTGCCTGGCACCGAGCATTTGCCTATTTCATCAGACAGATCAACTTCTATGCTTGATGCTAACCACTCCAGAGCTTTTTGAGCCTGAGACAATATCTTGTCATTCTGAGAGTCCACAATCGCGCAGCAAGCGGCTGCATAGAGCATTTTCCAGCTCAACGTCAGTTTGCTATAATCGCCATCTTCAGTGAAGAGTATATATCCCAAGGCAGCTTCCCGTTGCCTGCGCAAGGCCTCTGGAGATCGATCTGGTAAAGGATAGGGGAAACCCAGGTCATCAAATTCCGTAATCTCTGCATTCGCGTGAGAGAAAACAAGTGTTGTTCGCTCTTCTGCAGAAGTCCGATATTCAACCGTATCTCCTGGATGTAGTGTAAAAGCTGCCACAACAAGACCATTATAGGATGCAAGACCCCAGGTTCTGCTGATGGTATATCCGCCAAGGTCACGGGCTATGTCAAACTGTTCGCGGATAGTATCAAGTTGTTTCTTCCAAGGTGTTTCTGAGAGTCCATTGCTGCTTTGGATGCCAGACAGTGTCATAGTTGCCGTGTATCCACCTACAGTACCGAGATGAAGGATTGGCATCTGCGTTGCCTCATCCAAAGCAACGGTCATGGCTGCTCTCCATTAGCGACAGATATTCGTTGGGTGTAACCAAATCTTACCACTTGTCTGTTCCCAATGCCTCGGACAGTCAGTTCCTATATCACTTCCGGTGGACTCGTAGAACGGCAATTCTTTAACTTGGTTCCCTTTCCCTGCTGCTTTCATTCCTTGATATGCTGCGCGAGAAAAGAATATCGTAGTCAATCCAGCAAAGCTGCCTACGACAAGACCGATTTCAGAAGATTCCTCCTGCATACTTATTAATAAAAGCGGCCTCGTTTCTCAGTGCAAACTTACTGTGTAGAGCCAATGCAGAGGGCCAGTCAAGTGGTAACTTTTCAGGAGTCCTCCGTACGATATGTTCTCTTCAGAGACACATTGGACCATGTGATTCACTGCAGAGCTTGCCTGATCATTGTCCGGTATCAAGGTTATGACATGTCTCACCATCTTGAGCTTTGCCCCCAATGTGACAGCCACGTTCCCAATCGCAGAACAAACACCATCTCTATCCTTAGTTTGCTGATAGACCCATGGGCCGGGCGACATGAAAGATGCCCTAGCGCGCGCTCTCAGAGCAGAGGCGAATATCGAGGCCGGTTGGACAGGTTGGTTTTCTATATGCTCATCAAGTGAAGTAAGGGACAGGACTTCAAAAGAGTAGGAGCTTGTGGAAGTCGGATCTGTGGATCTCCGAGCCTGTAAGAGAATCATATCATTGTCGTCGTTGGTGACCGAGAGGAAGTGCATACCCCAACGGCTTTCAGGAGGCGGTACTGTGTAGCTCGTGGCATGTTGTTCTGCAATCGGAACTTTAAGAGGCGGACACCACGTAAAACAACGAATATTGGACTTCCGTAGCCTGAGCTCTTCGTCATCAACAAGGGACTTGAAGTACGAGCTTAGACAGTCGTTGACGATAGCAACCCGTGTCCATCTTCCTTGAGGACTAATATCATAGAATGATAGAAGCAGACTCGAAGTCAATACTGCCAAAACACAGCGCCTATGCTTGGCGAGTCCTGGTGGTGACCAGGCCAAGCCGGAGACAGTAGTGATAGACTGCTCCGGCCCGATTGAAAAGTTTTCCCGCTTCTGAGGATGTATTATGGGCCACTCCCCGTTTGTGAAAACATTTGTGCGAATGCGTGTCACGTTCCAAGTATTGGTTGCGGCTTGGGAACCCGACCCATTGCCTCCTTCTTTTTCTGTCGTATGCCTTGGTGTCTGTCTGTCATTAGCCCTGTTTACGAAGATATGGTCATCATTCTTTACGGTGCTTTGCTTCATTGACGAGCAAAGTAGGATTCGATGCACTGACTAATATTTGGACATATTCCCCTGCCGCTACGGCAATTTCACCGTCTGCAGACCATGATATGCAGTTGAAACAAGAGGGGAAAAGCTGCAGTTCTAATGGACCTAGCATTATAGCACCAAGACGGTTCAAGGGTAACTGGTTGTGTACTTTAGAATATAATCTTCAGATATAGACTGAAGAGTACTACAAGTTATTCATGTGACGCTTTGGGTAAAGCGCGTAGACATTTCGCGCGTCTTGGCAGGTGACATGTGTTTACCTATCACGTGCTGCTGAGACATCTACAAAATGCGTGGCTAAAAGCGGTAATACTGGAAAGCGCAGTTGCAAATCAACTTGGAAAAATCATCAATTTCGGTCCGCCTACATCTTGTCTCAGTTTGCCTAAATATACATATGCAGGCTTTGGCTGGCCCATTTTATGTCCAGACCTATGCGGGTATAAACTCATTGTGGTTATCGCTTTTCAAATCAGAAGTAAAATCAAAAGAAAATGCCATGCCGGTGCACAGGACTAATCAACCCGATCCAGCTTCTGGACAACCATGGCACTAGCGGCGCCACCACCATTGCAAATCGCGGCCACACCATATTCACCAGGCTGCAGCTGGTGGAGAAGGGTGACCAAGATACGCGAGCCAGAGCTTCCGAGTGCATGTCCCAGAGAGATAGCTCCTCCCAGGGGGTTGACACGGGCGTTCTGCAATCCAAGAATCTAAATGCACGTTAGACTCAGTATTGATCATCTGCCGTGTGGTGGGTACTAACCTTCTCGTTGGCTTTGATAACGGCAGCAAATGCCTCATTAAATTCCCAGACGGCAACCTGATCCTTGGTGATACCAGCTCGCTCAAGGGCAATGGGAACTGCCTTCGCTGGGGCGACGGGGAAGTCCACGGGGTCAATAGCGGCATCCGCAGCAGACACGATACGCGCGAGGGCCCGGTTGCCCTGGCCAAACTCGCGAGCCAAGTCCTTGCTAGCCAGAACCAGAGCTGACGCTCCATCATTCATGGTGGAGGCATTACCAGCAGTGACAGTGCCTGTGCCATCTCTCAAAAAGGCGGGCTTTAAGGTTTTCAACTTATCAATCCGCAGATTCTCATATCCTTCGTCACGTTCGATAACGGTCTCACCCTTCTTACCCTTGACAGTGACGGGGGCAATTTCATCGGCGAACTTATTCTCACTCCAGGCCTTCTGGGCCCGCTGGTACGACTGAATCGCATATTGATCCTGGTCTTCCCTCGAGATCTCGTACTTCTTGGCTGTAGTCTCGGCACAGATACCCATATGGAACTTGTTATAGACATCCCACAGACCATCCTTGATTAGACCATCCTCCAGTTTGATCTCTCCGAACGGTGGAAGCTGGCTGGAACGTGCGAGGTAGTAAGGGACACGAGACATATTCTCCATGCCTCCAGCGATTTGGGCGTCTGCAAGGCCAAGCTGGATATTCTGCGCAGCAAGTGCTACGGCCTTGAGACCCGAGGCACACACTTTATTTACTGTCATGGATTCCACTGTAGGCGACAAGCCAGCGAACATAGAAGCCTGACGAGCTGGTGCCTGGCCGACAGATCCTTGGAGAACATTTCCCATGTATACATCGGTGATCTTCTCGACAGGGAGTCCAGACTTGGTCACAGCAGACTTGATGGCAACGGCGCCCAGCTCGGGGGCAGAGACTGAGGTGAACGATCCATTAAACTATTAAAACAATGAGTTTACTTGGAAACAGCGTTGGGTATAGTAGAGGGTCGAACCTTAGCAGTCGGAGTTCGTGAGGCACTGAGGATATAGGCATCCTGGATCTCCTTGAGTGCCGGGGTTGCAGCGCTGAACTGTCTCTGCCACTGGCGAGATGCGGGGATAGCCGCTCGCTTGAAGAGACGGGTAGCTGAAGCTTGGATCGCCATTTTTCAATGCTTGTAGAATGGAAGGAAAAAAGGGAGATTAAAGAGGAAACAAAGATAATAAGTACCTTGTCTCCGGATTCAGGGTAGGTGTCCCGGTTCGAGGTGCCTTCGACCTGCTTCTCCGCAAAGTAATCCGCCTCTAGCCGCCAATGTAACTGCTGCTTCACCCGGTGGGCGCGGAACCACTTCGCCGCTCATCCGCTTGGACCGAGGCTGTTTTGAACAAGGGATTGATCACATGATGTGAGATCATGTGGCCTTGAGAGCTAGTATGCCCCTTACCCGATAAGGAACCATAATGGCTGGATCTCAATGGATCCATGGATATCAAGGATATATTCCCAATTCAGCAAGTCTCCGATAAGGATCACACACTGTATCAATGCAGATTCAATGTCCACAACTCCGCCGCTACTACTCCGTACCTACTATAAAGTCCAGTAGTGACTCAAGTGGCTCTCTGTCGGTCGCGAAGTCAACTGCCAGCCCCTAAGCTCTACGCGCCTTATATAAAATCCCGTCTCGTCTATATTGGAACCGCTTTAAGTCGTCCATGTTGGGCCCAGGAAACTTTCGGTGGTAAAGTTGTCTTGATATGCTGGGAATCGACTGTATATATGTACAAGCATAAATACCATCCACCTCCTCGACTTGTGCGCGGGGGATAGGGGGGCGGATTAATATTTTCAATTCGCGATAGAGTGTGGAGCTTTGAAACAAATACTTTATGCTCATGTAGTTCTCACAACTACTAGTAGTTCCTGGGCAACAAAGGATTTTGAGAACTATGTCAATCAACGTGACATCATATCCCCTGTCCTGTGGATGACGAGTTGCCAGGAGGATAATAATAACTATCCGAGCAGTATGGAATATATCGGTTTTAACATACGCATGCTAAATTCTTATCTCTATATTAGGCTATCTAATTCTCTAGTAGAGGGCGAATGCTAGTTTCTTGGGGGCTTCGAAACAGTCCTATGACAAACATATCCGCAGAGACCAATATATATTTCAACTACACTACTAGTACATAGATATGTACAGATTAATTTCTTGAAGTAAGAAATAACCACCTACAAACTGCAGTGAACGCTATATTTTACGAATAAACCTCATTTTATTGGATAGGTTTCAAATTTACTTCCTCTTTTAACCCTTTTGTCCAAAGTATGATAGTTTGGTGCTGAAGGACTAAATTTGGACTATACCGTATGTGCTCCAGCTACAGGTGTCAGAACTTGGCCCGCTGACAGAGGACGCGGCAGGCATAGTCTTACGGATTTGGAATCTCTCGGCTGATAGACAAAGCTTGTTGTGGTGATATTGTTAGTTGAGAACATAAAGGATCATGATGATATATGCTCGGGTTCACGGGTGAGTTCCGACCGTTAGCGTTGAAGAATCCATCATGATGACTAGGACTCATTTGGTTTAGTCAGTAGGAAGCTCAGTAGTAAACCGGATCACGGGACAGGAGATTTCCCAGCACATTTAGTACATACCTTGTGGAAGTAGTCCGAGGAATCGGGAAAATAAAATGCCTATTGAAAGAGAAGGATGTTATTGAACTCAGCAAAGGAGAGAAGCAAATTCCCAGTGGATCTCTTTGATGATTAAAGGGGTAGAATGGAAGCCGTGGCGGTTTGCCGTCGATTGTAAGGAACTCTCCAAACAGCAAGCGGTCTGTAGTGGATCTGCACGTCCTCCTCCCATTGTTACTCATCTTCTTCTTTTCCCAAACCACATCCAGACTCTCTTCTCTCAAAACAACATTTGAGTTCAGTTCAGCATCTCGAGATTCAAGATCTGAAGACGGCCTTTGTCTTCTGTATCACAATTTAACCCCGGTGTTGACAGTTCCCCTTGCCCGCTCCCATTCATACTCCGATCCGTACCCCGCCGCAATGTCGACCTCTGCCCGTCGTCGTCTCATGCGCGACTTCAAGGTACGCATTTCTCGTAGAGCTCGGAATTCCTGGTTCTTGTTTTTGGTCCTTATTATATTCATGTGTACTGCTCGAATGATACTTCTTTTGTCCAGGGGACTCCGTCTCTTCCCGTATAGATCTCGTGAGCTAATCTCTTCCATAAATGCAGCGTATGCAAACCGACCCTCCTGCCGGTGTCTCAGCCTCTCCGGTAGCTGACAATGTCATGACCTGGTAAGCCCTTTAAATTTTTGATGTTGTTATTTATTGCCTTGATTCGTTGCTGATCCTGTCTCTACTAGGAATGCTGTTATCATCGGGCCTGCTGATACTCCTTTTGAGGATGGCACATTCCGTCTTGTCATGCACTTTGAAGAGCAGTACCCGAACAAGCCCCCTGGTGTTAAATTCATCAGCCAGATGTTCCATCCGAATGTATACGGTACGGGCGAGCTGTGCCTGGATATTCTGCAAAATCGTTGGAGCCCAACGTATGACGTGGCGGCCATTCTCACCAGTATTCAAAGGTACGTTCTCTGGCCACCAGTGACGGTGAGTGATTGGCTCTAATCGATTTCCGCCTTTCTGCAGTCTGCTTAATGACCCAAACACATCATCACCTGCCAATGTCGAGGCATCTAATCTCTACAAAGATAACCGGAAGGAGTACATCAAGCGTGTGCGTGAGACTGTCGAGAAAAGCTGGGAAGACTAGGGGACCCTACATGTGATATTGGCTGTTTTTCTTTATTTTTTATATTCCCTTCTCTCGGTATGATTTATCTGTGGGCGTTTATGACGAAACAAATATTGTCTGCTCATGTCAAAAGGTGACAGCACACTGTCGATGGCGGCGGACACGCCGTTGGCATGACTTGTCCTTGGAGGATTCACACGCCGTTTGATGACATGCACAGCGCGGGGTTTGGGCGCCTGGTACATATTCTCCCTTTGGTCTCTTTTTGTGGATAATCGCATATGTTTCAGTTGCGAGGTGCATAATGCATTAGCTTAGGATGTTTTCTGCCTCAATTATGCCTTGGCTTCTATCATTGATTAGTCTTTCCCCTTGCCGTTCTGCGTTACTTTGACTTGGCTGAGAGTGTGGTTTGCTTT